ACAAAGAATAATTTTACCAGAAACAAAAGTGAAGGAATGATGAAGCCAGTAAGTGACAATTGTTAAGAGACGTTAGAATGAAATATTTGATATGTGCCCTTCATATTTTGCAAACACATTCGGTAGTTTTGTATTTAACAATACATGGTTCTTCCCCACCTGACTTCTTATTCACGACACAACTACTGACGCCAAGCTTGATGTGATAATTAGAAGTATTTGAATTATTATACAGACTAGGAATCCTCGAAATAATTCAAGTCAGATAGAACTAAGTGAGCACAAACGAACGTACTGTATTTAGAATTCAAAGTCATACACACATCGAATACAAAGGAATCGTTAGTTCATGCACATGCCACGCTTGATTTTTGATTTGCTAGAGTAAGTGAGTGTGTGACTGAACGGTTCACTAGTTTAACGGTCGTTAGTCCAATATTACAGGAAATTTGAATTCTACAGGTGATTCTGAACACGAACAAAAGGATAAAAACTGGGTTGAGATATTTGGCGTGCAAAAAACTTTGAAGTGTTCTGCAAACCTTGAAGTCCTGTTTTAGAACTTTGATTTTTTGACCGATATAAATCTCCTCATGACCAGTGGTTATTGCATTGCAAATTCTCCCATGTTAGTGTCGTGAAGATGGCACAGGTATTCAGTGTTTGTCAATATATTGGAATTGCCTGATCTAGTCTGGCTAGCGATTGCAGTAGATGTTGAGCACGGCGTTCCCACACGTGATCTGGTGTGAACGCATGACCGAGCGCCTTCAGCTAGGTGAGTCCATTAAAACATATGGTCAGCATCCAATGTCGAAAACTTACAGAGCTATTTATTTTTGGGATTTGTTTACCGCTACAGATCACTCCCCCCTAGTGGGGTAGTGATGACCCTAAGACGTGGCCAGCCAGAAGTTTAAACCCAACGAGTTTTGTCGTTGGTGAGCACTCTTCTGATAGCTTGCTAGGTTAAGCAGTGTCTGGTCGTTTTTCCTTACTATAAGTGACCATGAAATACAATATAGTAAGAAAATAATGTACAATGAAATTTTTCGTTCCTCGTCAACCTCATCGTTCTTTTTAGCGAAAAAGTGTAAATAATGTTAAAGCGATTTTTACAAAATGTTTTTTAATTTTAATATACATATTAGTCATGTAATAAATATATACAAATATAATCATATTAAAAATTTTTTATATTGTATATAATTGCCATGGGAAATCGAGATGAAACAAAATGTTAACTAGTGTCTTACGTGCAATAGTCATTTAAATGTTCTGGAAACCTTACTCTTCTTCCAGAACGCGTGGTTTTAAGTTTATTTTCAGATACTGTCGAAGTATCATCGCGAGTGTTGATTGTCGGATGAGGTATTATAAGTGTCGGAGTTGTGTCGTTCGACTGTACCGATGGAAAATCGACGTATATAGGACTTCCTTCTAAATACGCTGCTTTGAGGCGATCGGTGGCGATGCTATCGTTGGTTCCGTTCTTATGGATTATGCAGTACTTAGGTTCGCGTTGAAGAACTTCGAATGGTCCTTCGTATGCTGATTTGAAAGGCCGTCGATGCGAGTCTCGACATACGAAGACGTGTGTACTATATCGTAAGTCAGGTTGAACGAAAACATCGGTTGATTGAGGTCGAGTGGAAGCAGGTTTAACTGAACGCATTGCGTTTGTAAGCCTGTTCAAGTAGGAGTTTAGATCCATGTTCATTGAATAGGATGAAGGGTCCACGAATTCTCCTGGAAGTCCAAGTGTCGTTCCATAAACCAATTGAGCCGCAGTGTACCCAATGTCAGCTTTCACTGCATTGTGAATACCTAGTAAGACGAGTGGAAGAGCGTTGGTCCACTGTGAAACGTTTGCAGATGATAGTGAAGCATTCAGTTGTTGGTGAAAGCGTTCTACTAATCCGTTTGCTTGTGGGTGGTAGGCAGTCGTTTGGAAGCGAGTGATTTCTAGAAGTGTGGTCAGACGACGGAAAAGTTCGGATTCAAACTGACGTCCGCGATCTGTAGTGATGGTTGAAGAGCAGCCAAAGTTTGCGACCAATCGTTCGACGAAGGCCACTGTTTCAGCAGTAATGTCCTTGATAGGTACTGCTTCTGACAATCGATTGAAACTGTCTACGCAGGTTAAGAGATAAGAATATCCATTTGAATCTGGTAAAGGTCCTACCAAATCCAGATGAACATGGTCGAAACGAGCATCGGGAGTTTTGAAAGAGCCTAAAGGACATTTATTGTGTCTGATAACCTTAGATTTTTGGCACCTTACACGGGAGCGTGCCCACTCCCTCACGTCTTTATTCATGCCAGTCCAACAAAACCGTTCTGCTATAAGCTTAATGGTTGCACGAACATCTGGATGAAAACGTTTGTGCAATGTATTGAAGACGTTGCGTCGATAACGTTCCGACACGATTGGACGATCTCTACCTGTAGATGTGTCACAAGGTAAGGTTTCCTTACCTGTTCCCATCTGTTTGATGCATGGCTTGAGTGTTGTAGACGATAACTCGTGCTGAAGATCAGTGTCTTCTTTTTGAAGCTGAGCGAGTTTAAGAAGGTCGATCCCTTGGAAACTGTTATGCGAGATAAGGCGTCTGCAACTATATTGTTTGCCTCAGAAATGTGTTGAATATCTGAAGTATGCTGTTAAATGTAGTCCAGTTTTTGAAACTCTCGAGGAGATCACTTATCTGAAGGTGAGCCTTAACAGAAGGAAAGGGGTTTGTGAACGGTGGAAAAACTGAATTCTCGGGCTTTAAGAGAATGTTAAAAGTGGCATACAACACAAAACATGGCTAGGATTTCCCTGCGGAAAGTGCTACTGTTCAGTTCGCTGTCTAGCAGCCGTTTCGAAAAGAATGCTAATGGTTGTCAGTTGTTGTTTCCCCATTCTTGTAAGACTCTTTGCTTTGGCGATAAGTTCTTGAACGGTGGAGAATGCTTTTTTTACACTACCGTCCAAATTGATGGACCGCGCATTTCCACGATGTTGGTCGATTAAAGGTTTCATAAGAGACGCTCAATTTAGTATGAACCGTCTATAGAAACTCACTAGGTGGATGAACGTGCATATTTGCTTGATTGTGGTCGATTCTGGGTAACCCGGAATGGTCACCGCTTTCCGTTTTAGAGGTCAAATGCCTTGAGCATCAACAGTGTGTCCATGAAAATCTAAAGTCATTGCTGTTTTGACATTTTAAAATGTTTACGGTACTGCTGTGTTTTGTAGTCGTGAAATTCTAAACGCATGTACGAAGCAGAGACCTTCAAAAACGTCATCGGTGAATCTCAGGAACGTTTTGCAGCGTTTCTTAACCGAAAGGCATTTTCGAAAAGTCATAGATACCGAAAGAAGTGATGGAAGTGACTTTACGAATGTCTTCAGCGGCCATGGGAATTAGGTTATATGCTTTAACTAAGTTGACTTTCGAAAAAACGGATGCTCCTATCAAGGTCACCGTCAAATCGTGAATGTGAAGCAACAGGTGATCAAAAATGGTCTTCGCATAGTCACCAGTTGAACGCCAGTCGTTGCTGTTCTTTTTAGGGTCCATGTGCAAGGGAGATGACCATAGCCCGTTCGATAGCCGAATGATCCCTGCGTCAGTGATATGGTCGCATGCGTTTTTAGACAACCTTGGTTTTTCAGGAACTAGTCGGTGCGCTTCCGAGAATACAGGTGGTCTTGTGGTCTTGATGTGACGTGTAACATTGCTGGTTACACATGGCAATTTTGCCTAAGTTTGGTACTTATCAGGTATTTGTTAATAGTATGGATCGATCATGTGCCTTAATGTGACTGGGGATAATATACAACCGGAAAAGTCACAAAACCAGATGGATTAGTATTTCTGTGGATGAATCTCCGTTTGCCCGTCTCGTTGAGTAAATTGTAAGCTTGTATCAAGTCTATTCCAATGATTAGCATTGAAACATCTGCAACAACGATGATCCAGTGGATGGGTTTGCGTAAATATCGCTTACCGCGTGTGGCAATCGATTTCCCATTCGCAGCTTGTAAGTCAGAAACCACTTTGTGCAGTCGGTATTCAGAATTCGCTGGAAGAATGCTAACTTCCCGACCAGTACCGACGAGGTAGCGAGCTTTCTTAATCACACCAGTGATGTGTAAACAGACGGTTATGTTTGCCGGCTACGACTGCCGTTAACACGTACCGGGTGGGTAATTCCCTGAAGCATTTTTCGCGTTAGTCGGTTTTCGGTTCGGGAAACTACAGGGTTTTCCACACTTCCGAGATTTTCTGGACTGATTGTGATGCCAGCACCAATCAGGGTTGTCTGTGACCTAGAGACAGATCGTTTTCGTGAAGAACTCCGAGGAGTGTGGGAGTGCCTACGGTCATCACGAATATTAAGGTAACCTGTCAGATTAGTGCAGAACTCTGTAACGTCATTTCGTTCAGTTTGAGGCTTTTCTTTTGCTGAATAGACCATGGTGCAGGGAGTTCCTCTGATCTCCAGAAGTCGGCCGACAGATGCAGTCAGTTCGTCTACAGCATTGTTTTGAAATGAGACAAACACTGCATGCACCTGTTGGTGAAACTTAAACAAAAAATTTGTCTAAACATGCCCTTGCCAAAGGTCCATCGAACAATGTCCTCACGTAACAACATATCTATTGTCGGGGGAAAATTACATCAGCTGAATTGAGGGTGGCGAAAAAGTCTCAATCTTAAATAATTTGAAAGTTTGTTCGGTCAGGATGAATATAAGGTAAATTACATTAACTCGGCTACCAAATACTGAGAAACTATTCTTTCAGTTGTAGACGAAAGTTCTTATACATACTTCCAACAGAAACAATGTCCAACCTTTATTGATTCATTCAAGAAGAGAGACAAAACATCATAAGAATCTCACTATGGAAGGACCAACATGGAGTCGACCTCTCGTTCTCAATGTACAAACTTGAACCGATTGAAAATTGAACAGGTTTGTTATAAGATTTCTCCCTGATTACCAAACAGGGCTTTGGGTTTTTTCAGCGGGTTTGTACTTTCGTTCGCTTGGTTTGTGATGTGTTCCTATGCAATACATGACATTGAAATTTCTTTAAGTTACATTTTCAAGGAGTTGGCAATTTTTCGTGTGATACTTATACCTCGGCTACAAAGTGCTATCTCTAACAGTTAACATTTGGTATTACCTTCTTGATAACCGTTTTATCCAAACGGTTCCTGTCATAGTGAGGACAAATGCGAATCATTCAACAGATTCATTGTATATAACGTTTGCTAAGATAGCCTTATCAGTTTCGCCTGGATCGCCTCAACATAATTTCGGGACACAAGACGAATAATTCTAGCTACTCTGCTTACATCCACTTTGATATGTCATCATTTTAGTCTATATATAAAAAATGATTCATTTCGCTTGTACCTTTAAGATTTATTTTTCCCCCAAAGTCTTGATTCAGTAATAACACCCGGTGAGTAAAATAGTTCAAGAATTTTCGATCATAGAAGACCTATTGGGGAAGTTGTGGTTTTACGTATTCTCAAGGTTCCATAGAGCTCGTAACTCAGACTGCCAGTTGATGACTTCCGTGAATAGTTAGTGACTCGGATCATTTACTAAAATGATTACATAATCAGGCCAAAACTACACTTTGACAGCTTATGTCACTTAGTATCTCCCCAGGCCGAAGTAGTTAGGGCGCCGTTCAAATATGTGAGTGAGTAGTTCCAGGCTGCGTTTTAACTGCTAGTCAGTCGTATTTCAGTCAGTGTCACGTGCTGCTCTAGTCCTCTTGAATGAAATATCACAAGCATGAGTAACTACTGACCGTTCATAAATGACATTCATTAACCATTTTAACCCATAAAGAAATCTAATACAATTCAATTTTGGACTACGGCCATATGGGACGTGTCAGGAATGAAAACTTTCCTCGTTTTAATCCATACTGAGGTATTTGGGGAAGTTCTTTGTCCCTTTAAACTATGGTCTTTCCTATTTAAAAATGTTATGTGCCTTTCCGTGTCCACCTCGCTATGTTAATGTACTTAGATTCACTTGAACTGACCCATCGTTTTGACCATTCTGTAGATTGATTATGACTGACTTCAATCATCTTTCCTAAAGGATTGTTCATACCAGATGAGACCACTGTGAGCAATGCTCATGTTTGCACAACAATCTCAATCATTCCAACCACCCTGAAACACCTGCTTCGGTGTCTTAAACATGTTTTTTGATTGATGTCTCAGCTGCTGTGCGCCACATTATTAACCAGTACTGACACTGGGTCAGTTTATGACATGGAGCAAGGAAATGTGATATAAGTATACAGGGCTGACGTTGGTTAGTCACGGTCCTCTGAACGTAGTCTTAAAAAGTATATAGCTCATTTTGTCAGGTACAACTGCAAGTAAAGGCCAATGGTAATCGTTCTAGCTTTCTATCATACCCATCTGTTTTCCTTACTGAACAAGATCTTCTTCAATTTTTGTTTCTTGATCAACTCGCCTCTTAATAATTACTTTTATTATTATTACTATTCAAACTTCGCTTCTCCCCAGTGTTGGCATTTCTACTTTGTATGGTATATTTCTCGTTTCTCCAGCGTACCGAAATTTTCGTGATTAACCGTGAGGATTCTGATCTCAGTCATTTTTACCAACCAACTCATTTGCTAGGTTTTTTTGGTAGCAGTGACAGTAATAATACTACTGGATTGCCCAAACCAAAGTGACATTCAAATCTAGGACTAAGTGGTTAAAAGTTGAACTCCTTGAACATATATATATATACCACAAAGTTTACTTCCTGACTAATTGAACAAGCCAGAACTAACGTGGCAGTCGCTTTGGGTACAGCACTCAGCTTCAGCTGGTGTCCCAGGTCCGGACGCTGCTATCTATTTTTTGTTTGGCCTGTTGAGTAGTACCATTAGTCCTCATACAAACGGCATGGTCCATGTCCGAATACGAAAGTACGTATACCATAAATGATTTATATTTGACTGGCAGTTTTATATATTAAGCGAAGCAGTTGTACTAAAGCTGCATACATTTCACGTTTCCTTAGCATTGGTGATAATTCGTGTTTCAAATTGATAGTCTGCTTTTCTCAATTCTTAGTTTTTAATAACCGAAAGGCTTTTTTTCGAATAACAGGAATTTATTATTACGTTTAGTCATAAATTTTCTTTTTCAGTCTATTATGAATCAGTTTGGTCATCAGTATACTGTCCAACCACCACCTACCTTTTATACGAGTGATATGAATTCATTTGGTAAGAATATTCTTTGGTTTTGTATGATGCATAAGCAATTGTTTTACTTTGACCGGTGTTAGGATCTCTAAGCACAGCTGTAGGTTGTCTGTAAAATGAAATAATAAACTAACCGCTCAACCAGAGAATATCCATTTAAGATTGATGCTTACGCAAGATATTTTAAATATAGAGCCACCTCGTAATTTTGTTTACGTTTAAATTATATTTCATATTTTTATTTTCTTGTAAGCAGTAATATTTTGACTCGGATTTTATTGGTTTCCTCTAGCTGTGCTCGTATGAAGTGTAGTAACTTGAGAGGTGTTCGTCAGGGCTGCCCACTCTCTCCATTCTTGTTCAACTTTGTCGTCGACGTACCTTTAGAGATAATATCTCCCTCGTCTAAATTTCCAAGGGTTGAACTTCTACCGGGAGGTTCACTTGTTGACTTAGAATATGCTGATGACATAGTTTTGTTTGGTGAAGACGCTGACAAAATGCAGAGTCTTATGACCACTCTAAGCAACGATGCAAGCATGTTCGGGATGCGATTCTCCCCCCTTAAAATGTAAAGTGTTGCTTCAGGATTGGGTTGCATTGACACCATAACTAAAGATAGGGAGTGAAGTAGTTGAGCGTGTCGATCGCTTCACTTATCTTGGAAGTCTCATCAGCCCTTGTGGTCTGGTGTGTGACGAAATCTCAGCACGGATACAGAAAGCTCGACTAGGTTTTACCAACTTGCGTCATTTATGGCGTAGGCGAGATATCCGTCTATCAACCAAAGGACTAGTTTTCTGTGCAGCAGTTCGTTCCGTCCTACTTTATGACAGTGAAACATGGCCGGTAAGAGTAGAGGATATGCGTAGGTTACTAGTATTTGATCATAGGTATCTTTGAACCATTGCTCGTATATCCTGGGACCATCGAGTAAGTAATGCAGTTGTTAGGAAACGGGTACTAGGTAAGGATGGCAAATCAATTGATGACGTAGTAAAACTTCATCAGTTAAGATGGCTGGGACATGTGTTACGTATGCCCAACGACCGATTGTCTCGACGTGCGATGTTCAGTGGTATAGGAGTAGATTGGAAGAAAGCTAGGGGCGGCCAGACCAAAACATGACACAAGTCCATGAAGTCACTGACAAGTGGACTGAGTCATGTTGGTAGGTGTAGACTACTATGTTGTATATTCTCAACACGCTCATGAGACTACCTTTAAGGTTTGACGATTTGAAGACTACAAGCTATTGATTGTTCGTAGCTTAACAGCCTTATTGGTGTTTCAAAATCAGTGAAAACTGATGTAGAAATTGTTGTTACGATCTTGTTACTACCAACTTTGAGATAGAATTCTAACAGGAGCAGGACTATGATGGCATTGTGCTAATCATTGGTAACGCTTGCCCATGGAAATATAAATCTGGTGGCTGCAATGTTATAAGCAGCAAAATAAAACGTCCGGGCCTTAGTCGTTTAGCAACCAGTTCCAGTCATGTTAGTTCATTCGTATTATGTAGTCTTTATTTTCACATTCATCATATATCACTTTAAAGAAAATGTGCCTCAATTAGGAATGTTCTAAACGTAACTATCCCTGATGTCACAGGGTTCGATAACGGATTTTTGGATTATTCAAATTTGTAAAACTAATGTGTGGTAGTGAGGTTAAGATGTGGTTAGTCATTGAGCGTAAACAAGTAGGCACAATTACTTACGCCCCAAATGCCCTGGTATGGCTGAGAGTGGGGTGGGCCCGCCCTCCTCGAAATGCTCTCACACGGCCAGGCGTATACAGCCTCTGCCAGGGAAGTCCTACTCACTGCCCTCTTGTGGCGGGGGTGTTGTCTACAAAAATGAGAGGACGAAAAGCGAATGTCCGGCGCTTTAACCGGATCCCAAACCAACGGTGCACATGGGCTCCAGTATCCTGCGGGAACAAATGGCGTGTGAACCAATTGTTGGTCACCGGCTACCATGAGACTGCATCTCCTCACGATGCTCCACTGCATTGTGGGTTAGACCTTTAGGTCAAAGGCTCGGGGTGTGGCCCCCTAAGAAAACCACCTGCTTCGGTTCGGGCACCCGGACAGTATCAAAGCCCCCACACGTATCAAATGAGATTTGTGTAGCGCATATATATTTGGTGCCCTCTTGTACCAATATTTATGTGTTGAAATAAACCCACCAGCATTCTCCATTGAACTCTGTCCCGAGCAATCATTTTCAGTTGCTATTCATCCTTTGATGTCTGCTTACAATTCTCGTCTCAGCGTGTTCTTTGACCTTCCTCTTTCCTGGTTCCCATCAGGATATCAAGTTAGAGCTTGCCTCGTGATGCAGTCTGATGATTTCCACAATGTGTGTCCTATCCACCACTCCTATTGTTCTTCCATAATTCCCTCTTCAGATGGAAGTTGGTTTGTTTCCTCCCACAATAGGCTGTTACTGATTGGTATCCGGTCAACGGACATTCAGTATCTTGTGCAGACAGTTGTTTATAAATAATTGTACCTTTTTTATGATATTGTGGTAGTTCTCGAAGTTTTGGATCCATACAGCAAAACTATCTTGACGTTCGTATCGAAGAGTCGGACTTTGATATTGGTTGACGGTTGTTTTGAGTTCTGTATGTTGTTCAACTGTAGAAATGCCGCCCTTGCTCTGCTAAACCTCGCCTTTACATCTGCATCCGATCCTCATTGTTCATCGATGGTGCTGACTAGGTACGTGAACTCTTCCACCTGTTCCAGGGCTTTTCCATGAAGTATGATTGGGTTGGTGTTCTCCATGTATTTGAGGATGTTGCTTTTTCCCTTGTGTATGTTGAGGTCTACTGCTGCAGAGGCTTCTGCTAAACTGGTTGTCTTGATCTGCATTCGCTCATGTGTATGGGATAGAAAAGTCAGGTCATCTGAGAAGTCCAACTCGTCTAGTTGTATGTAAGCTGTTCATTGTATTCCTCAGACATAGAGGTCTTCATAATCCAGTCAACCACCAGAAGAAAGGGAGACAGTAAGCCGCCTTGTCTGACTCCGGCCCCTACTCAGAAAGCGTCTGTCAGCTGTCCTCCATGCACGACTTTGCAACATAGTCCGTCGTATGAATGCCGTATGATATTGACGATCTTCTCAGGCACATCAGTGTCGACGAATGTTCCATAAGGTTCACCTATCCACTCTGTCAAACGCCTTTTTCATAGTCAAGGAAGTTGATATACAGTGACGAATTCCATTCAATTGATTATTAACAATTATAATATATTCGTAATATCTGATTGGGGTATTACAAATATGATATTTTTATTGATAAAAATCTTCCCAATGCTCAATTTATTGGAACTTATAAAGTCAAACCTTGGTAATGATACACACTAATTCAATCGATTGTTCAACAATGATCCATAATGTCACTATTTGGTTTGTGCACGACCGATTCTTACGGAATCCGGCCTGTTGATATCTTCATACTCAGTGTTGTCCACTTTGACCTTGGGCGTTTGATGAGATATCCTTCCTTCCAGTTTGTCAATACTTATTCCTGCTCCCGAATCTTTCTGAGTAGAACGTGAGGCATGTTTGCATTTGCTTTTGTTTCTGATTTCGGTGCTTTAGATGGTATATTGTCAGGTCCTCTTAGTTTCCCACTCTTGATTTGTCTGATGGCCATCCTTGTTTGTTCGATCGCTGGTGGAGTGACATCTGTAGGAAGATCTGTAGGTGCTGCTTCGATGCCAAAAACGCTAACCAGAATAAATTAAACCAAGTAGGCACGGCTTACTAACTAAAAAAATATGACTTCCTTTCCTGTTATTGATTTCTACCCCGGACTCACTGAGAGTGACTTGTGTTGAATAAAGTATTATCTAGCATTATTTTTCTCTATTTTTGGTCGTGAATCGTGTCTCTGACAGCCTAGCCTGTGCATAGCCTATCGATCAGGTATCTAGTCCAGCGGTAGTATATATTCGAACACCAGCCTTATCGCATTACTGCATTATCGTAGTATGCCGTAGGGAGAAAAATATTTCAGATCAAATGTTTTATTACTTAGTATAGTAGTTTAGTAGGTATTGATACACATTTATCAACGTACTTACCACCACTCAGCTCACCTTTTCTGTCTTTTGGCTTAATTACGTCTCACTATTTAGCTTTCTAACGTAGTGTATTAATCAGCAAATTGGTACGAGTTCTTCATTCGGTTAAAATGATTACCCACACTGTCTGATTGTTTGTTATATATTCACGACCAACAGTATTTGCTTTATGATTACTGTATAGTACGAAAAACACTAATTGATTTGGCTTTGTGATATTGATTACATAGCTTTTGTTTCTTAGGTTAATACTGAGACTACGTGAAACTTTATTCTTTTCAACTTTGTAGGAAATGCTGTTCAAAGACCTGGACCCAGGCCTTATAGTTTTGAAGTTCCACCTCAAGATTTTCAGTCTACACCCCCTCTTCGGAGTGACAGTGGATATTCGCTTTGTCCATCCCAGTATTACAGCAGACCTGGGATAATGCCTTCCACAGACGAAACTTGTGTTAATTTTTCAGAACAACTACCAATAACCTCTGAAATCAATGAAAATAGCAACGTAGTCCTTGACTATCAGAATCAGTTTAGTTTTCGTGTTCCTCCCGAGATTCCTACCTGGATGACCTTAAATTCCTCAGCTAGTAACTTCTACACTGATATTCAAAAATACACTTCACAACCTAATCCAACACCCCAGTCGGTATATACTGGGATTCCAGTTCATTACAATAGAACTCCTGAGAACTCTACGTTTCAAAATCGTGGGCGTGTTAGAACTCCTGGTCCTTTCAAGGGAAATAGAGGAAGTAAGATTTTATGCGTAAATAATAATCGGATTTGAATAGACTAAAATCTGGCGTTTTATCTTGAATTTGTTTAACGTTGAGGAGTGCAATGGCTTTGGATGTTTAGAGCATCCTTATTAACCTAATTACCACATAATTTTGTGATATTTTGTGGCTTAACATTCTATGGATGAAATAATTGTAGGCTGAGAAATAACATCAAATTTTAAGACAAGTAGTGGTGGAGAAGATTTGTAGCTCAGGTGGATGATTTTGATGGAGTTTTGTTCTCCGAGCTGGATGGTTTGGTCGTGTTTTTTTCGCAGCTGGCACATTTTATAGATGATGTTTGGTTTGTCTTATTTTTTCATATTTTATCCTTTCGTTTGCATAGGATTGATTGTAGTAGTTTTGTCGGTTTGTGTGCAACACCTGTTCCGAAGATTCTCAGCAGTCTCGTTGTGGTTTCTGATATGCCTTTTATGTATGATCCTGTGTTATAACATGACCAAACCATCCAGCTCAGTGAAAAAAACTTCATCAATAACAAGTAGTGTAGAATAACTAACCTTCACAGATCGTCAGTTGCATTCATTGTTTACACAAATCATGTTGAATTCTCTTTCGACAAGATAGAAATATGATTTTGATATTGTTTTTAATAGGTCTTCGAAATCGCCCCAACCAAGGTACTCACACCGCTAATACTGCCGGTACGACGACAACTACAAAAGAACCATCCATTTTTTACTGCGATATTTGCAAAGTTAGTTGTGCAGGTCCACTAGCCTTCAAAGACCATGAATCTGGTCAACGCCACAAAAAAAGATTGTCCCAGGTAAATTTGTCCTACAATTACTGTTTGACTTATTCATTGTTTTTAATTGAATTGCTTTCTTAATGCAATTAAACATAGATGATTGTAAGCTATCATTCATATCAAGTAGTTCTTTACAAGCTTCAAGATTTATTGTCATCATTTCAATTGAATATGTCTTTTGCATTTACCTTCACATGTTCCGTATTACAGGAGTAATTTTGAAAACCATAATTTGACCTATCTAGAATATAATAATTAACATTTCTAACAGTCTTATAAACTAAAGATCACCAACTAGCTTTGAAAAAACTTATGAAAGATGAAACAATAATGCTACTTCGTCCAGATAAGGGTTCCGGTGTAATCGTTATTAACAGAGATGAATACATTAGCAAAATAATGTCTACTTTAATTGATTCCACTAGATTTATCATCGATAATACCCAGAAAGATTTAACAGAGAGGACAGAGAAGCGACTTGTAAATAAGTTGAGAGTCAGTCAGTCAGTAACAACGTAGAAGTTCGTACGTACGTACATCAGTCCAAGTTGCCACACCACATTAGCACACTGATGTTGTGGCCGATTCAAATCCCGTAGTGGTAGAGGTAATAAGAGTATAAGCAGCAATCAGGAAAATTAGTGTTTGTAGATGTTATTTAAAGAGTATACTACAGTGAAATAAATTTGGAAAGAGAAAAAAAGAGACAAGGAGGAATAAGTAGATCAAAATTTGGGAGGACACAAAGAGTGTATGCACCTGCGCCATTGCAAACGATTTTGAGAGATCTCCTAAAGAAAAATCTAATAGATAATCATACATACAATGAACTTAAACCTAAAGGATCACAATTACCGTACTTATACGGCCTACCCAAAACTCACATCCCAATATCCCGATTAGACCAATATTATCCATGGCTAATTCGCCTTTCCATAAACTCGCCCGCTGGCTGACAAAGTGCCTTGAACCAATCCGAAAGAAACTAACACCTTACAGTCTAAAAAATAGTTTCGAATTTGTACAAAAACTCGACAAATTTATGGTTTCATTTGACGTCTCATCGCTCTTCACAAACATCCCCTTGGAAGAAACGATAGAGATCATATGTGATTACTCTGAACTTCTACCCTACCAATTCATGATTTTAAACAGTTCCTCTTTTTGTGTACGAAAAACATACAATTTCAATTCAATAATGTCCTTTACCGCCAAATCGATGGAGTTGCCATGGTTAGCCCATTGGGCCCAATTCTTGCCGATATATTTATGGGAAACCTAGAACAAAAAAAGCTTAAGCACGCAATCGATGCTACTACGCTGTATTGCAGATATATTAATGACACATTCCTCGTCTGCAACAATCACGAACACTCCATTAAGCTACTCTATCTATTTAATAAAGCACACGAGGATATGGAGTTTACTATGAAACAAGAAGCTGAAGACAAATTCCATTTCCTTGATGTTGGGATCCGACGAACATCTGATGGTAAATTACATAGACATATTCACCATAAAAATACCTGGAGTGGTCTACATCTTAATTACCACAGTTTCTGCCCAATGAGTTACAAAAAGGGTATTGTACGAACCCTTTTTGACCGCGCTCAAAAAATCTGTTCAAAAGAATACCTTGATGATGAAATTAATCTGATTACTAACGTTCTACGTGATAATGAATACCCATTGAAATTTATCCAGAAATATGCAAAAACCAATCCTCGTACAAAATACGATGGAGTAGAAAGGAAAACCTGCTTCTTACACTTACGTTTCAAAGGTGATGAAATTGCTAGAATAATTAATCACAGAATAAACTCTGCGTTGAAAGTAACCTACCCAGCAGCAAAACTTATGACAGTATGGCAAACGAACTGGTCACTTCAACAAACCAAAATCGACAAGCCCTCTTTTCTTAGTAGCTCCAACTGCATCTACCAATTCACATGTACGTGCCAAAGCACATACATTGGAAGAACTGAGAGAAGAGTGCATGTCCGCATTTCTGAGCATGTTCCAAAAAACTTGAGGCTGCATGGAACTAAGGCTTTGAACAGTGCAATAGCTCGACATCTACTTGACACCGGGCACACCATCGACATTCCTCATGATTTCAAAATTATCAATAGACAAAGAAGTACGACCACCCTCCGTTTTGCTGAAGCCATTATGATCAAAAAACTTAAACCTGACTTATGCATCCAAAAAGAGACTTTAACTTATCACTACCCTGGTAACCCTTTTTTAAAATTTTATTATTTATTTATTTATTTTAAAATATTTATACTCCTCCCCTATTACATAATCCTTAAACCACATTATTATCCACACATTTCCACCACCTGATCCTCTTAAACTATCTTAACTTTTCAAATTCTATTTAATTTTTATTGCGTAACCTATCTTATGATTATTCAATTCCATTATTACACCACCCAACCTAAATTAATTCCTCTTGACCTGTTCTAGCATATATATATATATTTATAGTTATTATTGTAACCCAGTTATCTACACTCATCTACGTCAATTGTTTTCACTCTATCTCAATGTAAAAATTCTATCACATTTTTGGTTTGTAAGCAGTTGACGAGAAACCTCGAAATAATATGAATTCATACTATTCTGCACCAATATTTGTTCTTGCTTTATTTAAATTCATAAAGGGAACCAATTGCATGAAATTTATCGACTACTAGTGCCGATGTTAAATAATTTGAAAACCACGTTATTCTGTCAAGACTGATAAGCGAATAATTAACAAGGTCAAAATACGACTCAAGTAGAATGAATAGAATGGGATGCCCGAAAGCTAGAATAAGGTATGTGGGCTTTAACATAATAACTGACACTACATAGCCCCCTTGTAGAAAATAGCACATTAAAAAAATGTCTGTTTTCGAAAATAACACTGAAGTGATGTGTAGTTAACGTTAACAATAAGTAGCGAAAAAAATTGTACAACACTCGGTAAAGTACAGTGTCACATGAGCGGCGATTGTATTCTATGAAAATGTCATACTTATGTAAAAGAATACATGAATATCGCAAAGGCGCGGACAAAAATGGAAACGTTAGCATGCGAATATGAGCAAATTAATGAGCGTACAGAAAATTTACATGTACTAATGCTATGACTGTCTGGACGATAAAATAACAAGTTTGTATGAGTGATTCAAAATATCGTGAAAATAGTAATAAATTGTTTGTGGGTATGTGTTGTAATCTCTTTCTACGGTATGACCCAGCTATTCCTATTGCTTAGTAATCTTGGACACCAAATCACTCGACAAGACCCCAAATCAGAACACGGTTGAACAGGAAAGAGATTATATTCCAAATAACAAGGTTAGATGGAAGTAAGATGCAAGTAGTAAGCACAATAGAGAAGACGTTAGTATATTCATAGTTTTTACGTGAGAAGATTCTAGAGTATTGAGATTAGATGGTGGTTGGAGGTAGTCAACAGGAAACCCTGGACCCGGGTTTCGTGCTACTTGGCACTCGTCAGCAAGGTGTACCTGTAATCTTGAGGGAACTGGTGCTCCCTGGCGGATTCGATCTCGTGTCACCCAGCTTCACAGTCAGAGACGTTACCACTGAGCTATCCGAGCCGTGACTAACCTCCAACCACCATCTAATCTCAATACATAGTGCCCGCAGTGTCGAGTCACCTAGACTGGTGGCCACATTGCAACATGATCGATAGCATTCGATCTGCACTAATAAGGACTAGACAAGCATGAGATTGATCACCACCCAGTGATCAATCAATTGTGATTCTAGAGTATTCTCCAACTATCGGCTAGTGCTGATTGGATAAGGATTAGCCAATCAGCGTGCACCAAAGCAATCATGCATTGTGCATGCTTTAATCCAGTCTATGTCCCGCTAACAGTATGACAGCGAAACAAATCATGAAGATAAGTAAAGTAGAATACGACAGAAATTGGTCTGTGGTGCCGACAAAATAGTGAAATATGTTAAATATATGTTCTCCTGAGCCGAAGTAGAGTAAATAGCATCGACTAACGATGAGTGAATTCGAATTTAAATAGTTCCCGTTCGTAGGATAATAATAGTCAAGTCGTGATATGATAACTGCATCGACGGGTGATATTCGTTGCTGTACTGCAATTGATAATGATCATAAATTGTGAAGTCAGTGAACGTTGTCGTCTGCGTTATGACAGATGCATTGAGTTATCGTTAAATATGTATTAGTAGAATAACCAGAGGAACAGAATAGTGACTGAGTAGACGAGGTACGTAGAGTCGTATTCCTTTTTGGTCGTGAAGCCTAGAGTGGTTTGTGTGGTTTGAGGGAGATGCGGTCGACCTCGTTTGCTACAAAACCGTACCGAGGCATGATAAAAATACCAATACATATGATTAGCGATGGCGACGTATGAGACTGACTTGGATGTGACGAACAAGAGTGTATCTTTGAGAGACCAGCTCTAAACTCTATGTTTTGATATACAGTGCGATGGGAATAGAATAGTAGTTGCATTACTTGAATGTATTTGGGTGATGAATGATGCAGCATGTGGTTATACATATGGACAAATAGATAAAATGAACGTAATTGTTACTAATCAGCTAGTTAGAGGCATCCACAGACATAATAGGAGGCGATTTTGAAATGAAAAATGTATGTTATGATAACATAAAATAATGACCTCGACTAAGTGAATGAATGTAATATTAGATCAAAATGACATGGAAAAAATTGGAACGAACTCACTTAAAGCAGGAAAATTTCACGTTTTTGAATAGTAAAAATATCCCGATGGGTTCTGAATGTCATAACATGGAATGTTCATAAAATGATAATTTGTTCGGTGGGTGATATGATTGCGAAAATGTCATAATTTAATGACAGCACGAACAAGATTAATAAATCCACATTCGGTCATGATATTGACAATAATGTAATAATAAGCATATAATGATAATTTGAATCGTAATGGAACGATCCGACAAATGGATCAATGAGAATAGTTGACATGAGGACAAAGTATCGATAAGATAATATGACTTGAGCATGTCCATGTCATGTTGCACAGGCTTTGCTAATTGCGTCGGATTGGAGATTTCGCTAGCTTCGCTGAATTTGTTCGTCGTCGGCGGGCTTACCAACTTAGTGGGGGCCCGTAATTTAATCGTCATTTAGATCGAACGGTGTGGTCGGAAGGGCTCACCAGTTTAGTGGCCCGCGTATCTGACTCCATGTAGATCGTAATGATGATTGTTGTTGAAATATATGTCACTTATCCTCGTGTATAATCATCGACTTTAACCGCGTTAGTCAATAACGGAATTACAATATCCAGGTGCATGAATTAAAGCTAGTATTCCCAACTGCCAAATTTAAAACATTAACTAACTGTTAGGTCTCAATTCGTTGTCTTCCCATGAATAAAATACTATGAATAGTTGATTTAATATCATTTTAACATGAGTCGTTTTCTTATTTTTATCATTTTTCACTGTTAGGTTGAAGCGATTGAAAAATTAAAACAGGAAGTCTCTACCGATGGAAGTTCATCATTAATTATTAACTCAGCTTCACGAGAATTACGTTGTGAGCTTTGTGATGTTGGTTGCACCGGTGCCGACTCTTATACTGCCCATTTATCTGGTAGACAGCATCAACGTACGCTCAAGTTACACAAGGAATTGGGGAAACCAATTCCAGAAACTGATGATCCCCTTGTACCAGCTATTGTGGCAGATATGATTGCCACTGCCGCTGACAATGCTAAACCAGGTGAGGATTTTTAGATTTTCGCAGGTTGTTTACGGTTTTATTTTTTCTCCATTTCTTTGAATCCGCTACTTCACAGTGCCCACTAGTCATTGCTTAACTTAAATTGTTAAATTGTACCGTCGTTTAAGATATTTGTTAAAAATTTCACAAAGCATTTTTGAAGTGAGAGTTCTTATTCTGTCTGTGTGAAGGAAACGTGATTTTGCTTGACTCATTATTGTTGATTATTTACCTTAATTAAATGAGACGAAACAGTGTATCATTGTTTTTATTTTCATATTCTGGTACCGCTGAAATAAATTTCAGTTTTTACTACGATTAACTTTAAATGGGTTGCTTCCGCAAGTTTTGATATTCTTTATCATTCATTACTACAGAATACATTTTTTATCTTTACTGCAGTTGAAGCGGATGAAAATAAAACAAATCCTACGGAAAACACGTTTATGAAACATATTGATTTAAAACAACTTGCTGGTCCTGAACTACCTGCTGTTGGACAAGAGTATTTAGAAACTGTAAGAGCTTATGTAATATACATTATTATGCTTTTAATTACGTGTTTTCTGAATGTCTGGTTTAAAGTTAAGTAAAATAAAACACTCGAAGGTAGTACCAAACCTCAGCAGTTGACATGATTCGTACAGAATGCGCGTACAGAACTGCTGCTTTCATCATGAAGTGCATTCTTAATTTGACTTGTGTGTCCCCATCCACCGTCTGTGTCGACATGTGATGACGACCAATGTTGGAGTAGATTGAAAAGAAGTTATGGGGGGCCAAACCAATACATGATATCAATCCATGAAGACAGTGATTACTGGTAAGTTCAGACTATTTGGTTGGGGTCCGCATAATTATCGTTACTGGCGGTTAGAGTATAGCAACTAGCTTTGTTATACTCCTGAACGATTTATTCTTACTTTTGAACAGTTAAAATATTCTAATCTTCCTAGTCATTCATATATGCGACCTTGAGCGTGTGTGTATGATTGTACGTATCTATCTGTATAGTTGTTTATATCTTTCATGGCTATAAATATTGAGCCATGTTTTAATTAAGTAGTCTGAGAAGCCTTCCTTCATGTTTCACTTCTTACCATTTGTCTGCACAAATGAATGTTTAGTTTGTATTTGGTTTTTCTCATCGCTGTCACCCAAACGGGGTTAAGTGAAAGGTTTATATTATATCGCTCGTTCCATTCACCATTCCAGATAGAGTCAGACAATTGAACCTATTAGAGAGTTTGAATGATATGGCTCAAAATCGTTCTCGATCTCTCTGATTCACTCACTCTTTATCTCTCTTTAGATCCCAATTTTTTAAATTACCATATAATTTTTTTACTATTGCACTAATCCATATTTCCTCGAGTTTTATCCTCGATGCGCAATCCTTTTTTATTACTACTAATACTGTTACTACCTCTGTAATGAACGAGAACATAAGTGAAGACAACCAAATGTATTAGAATACAAAATTACTGAGTTCTTTCGTAAAATATAAAAACCATGCATTCAATACATTTGCAAATCCTCCATCAATTGTCTCAAACTCCATCGTTCCTTCATTGCCGCAACAACCACTCTCTGTTCCCATTCTCTTCGATTCAATCTTCCCAACCTTCTGATTGGCGTTGTCCTACTTATGTCGACATAAGCAGCACACACCACACCTCTACTACTCAGGAATTTGCTCATCTCGTTGTGCTAATGAGGTTACGGTGTGGCAATTTAAGTGGATGCACATGTGTGCCAGGTATCTGGATTGTGTATAACTGACTAATTTGATAAAGGATATTGTAAAATGTTAACATACAAAACTGAGATTTCTACAAACTATAAAGTTGTCAAGGGTTTGTTGGAATCTTATTGGTCTTGAGATATAACCTTTAAGTCATAATTCACTTACCGTTTTTCTCTCCTTTTCGAAAAAATTTCTCTCCAATCAGATTATTAATAGCAACAACAAAACTGTTAAATATCGTTGCAAGTTATGTGATTGTGAATTTTCAAATCCAGATTCTCGTGAATGTCATTTACGTGGTCGTCGTCATCGTCAACAGTACAAAAAGAAAGTCGATCCATCGTTTATTGTCGATCCAAATCCAGGAAATCAACTTCGTCGAAAAGTGATAGCAGCTAAAGAAAAGAAGACGAGACGTAACGAACCAGTGGGTTCATAGTTTTCTCTTACTAACAATATTTACTCTGTCTAGACCATTAGTATTTACTGTCTTCTCATATTCCGAAAGTTTACTAGTATATTTTTCTGACTGATAAATCATAATTACTTCTATAACATTACTTTTCAATATATTATTTCATAGTTTGCATCACTAACTGACCTTAGCTTCACGACGATTGAGAACCAAAAACCATGGACAGCTTTTTGATCTTAGAATGGGGTTCCTCACCAATAAACATTTGCGACCCCTCCAAAAATTGAATCCATGGACCCCGCGGTGAACACTTAACCTTTAGATCACTGGTCCGGCGCACAATGGCTTAGATGTTTAGTTTTAGTATGTACACGATATTGCGGACCCCATCTTCCAGTGCGGTCGATGGATAAATACTTCATTCCCGGCATTATTGGACTCGGCTTTCCACTAGAACTCCGAGGATTACCTCTTGAAAGTAGTCATTAGATGAGCACATGATTACTATTATTACAGAAGATTTGTGGAAAGCTTTGGGTTTCACAGACTACATCACGGATTGATCATAATGAAAGTTGTATATAAGACACTGTTGGTTCCCGATTATTGTTTAAAATCAATCCGTGATTTTAAGAAGGAAATTCATCAATCGCAATAAGTCTTTTGTAACAGTATAATATTACGTATTCAAATGTTAGTACTGTACAGAAATAGATATTGGTCACTTGATATACTTTATAAAAAAGAATGTTTCACACCTATTCTTTACGTTTGCCAATTATATATCATACAAATACATATTGCTTTGTTTCGAGGATTTTTAATCATAGTTAAAAAAAAACACATTAATATTCGAGATTTCATAAAATCTAATTAAGCGTTATACAGAGAATAGCAAAACAACCATGCCTGTTCAAATGGCAACATCGAGTCAAAGCCGTTTATGCTGTATGGATTTTAACTAATCGGATTACAAAAACTCATTGTTGACAACCAAATAAATAATTCACAAAGCGGATGAATGGTATGGCTCTAGATTAATTGAGCACATGTTTGTAAAAGCTAGTCAATTAATCACTTATCTTTAAGTATTTATAATTGTCCCCTTACAATTTATCAAAAGTGATCATATATTTAAACTACTTGGATAATAAAGCCAACTGTTCATACGTTAATGATACTAAGATTTTACGCCCTGGGTCTTGTTAAAAACATTTTGCGATCCAAAACATCTTTTTGGTAACTTGGTTTATACTACTTCATTCATCCTTAGTTAAAGACAATTTATTACATTAATTTTATACGTTTTCAGAAACAAAATACTAGCAGTTTCCCCAGTTTCAGTACCTTGCGTAATAGCAGTATGACAGGAAATTGTATGAGTGGGATCCCATATGACCGTTTTCCTGCACAAGTCCCTCGAATATACACGACTCAAACTCCTAATAAATCTCTAGAAAGCAGGTACATCAGTTCTAAGCATACATCTTTGCTACCGACAGCTTGGGAAGTTCAGGTAATTATTTTTTTTACTAATGAACTACCATTGTATATGATACATTAATTTTATGAAACGTTTGTCCAAATTTATTTCTACTTTTGTGTATTAGTTCTTAGTTCTGCTGGTCTGTCCATTGAAATATTCTTACATTTTTTCTATCGGTGTACTGATTATATATATATATATATATATATATATATATATATATATATATATATATATATATATATAATATTGCTTGACACTGATATGCAGACCATACTTAAACTTTAGAAACCAAGATCTCTCATCCAGTTCCACTATCGAAGACGTTATCACTATGTAGAGTAATAGTAATATGTGGGCTTTCCTTTTTAACAGGAAATGGCGTTCTTGACGATTGCTGAAGCGTTGTTCAAACTTAGCTTCCTGTTATTTGTTCTTAACCACCAAATACAGTATTACATGGTTTTTAGTTGTTTACCTCAGTAATCACATTCAAAATCTGATAGCATTCGGTCATAAATACGACCTTAGTAGTGTATTACTGATCACTAATTGGTCAATGTCGTATTTAGAATTCGTTCATTTTCTTTACTAAATAAGAGTTTTTAATTTAATTGGAAACGGAAGAAATGTATCAAGCACTATTTCTTTTCCAAAGATTCCGTATTTTCCCTGAACTACACCACCAGTTGAGCTATGAAGCTCGACAGTTCGGTAATGAAAACTTCCTATAACTGAGTCACAGGTTTCTAGTCCACTTCATCCATATCAATCTAAGCAGCCCGTTAGTATGAGCAGCTCTCTTTTTAGTCCACGTTAATTTGTGACTTTTGTCTTCTCTTCATTAAGGCAATGATGTTGGCTGTAACGATTTGTGAGCGCTCCTTGAAAGGCGTTAGTAACGACCTTTTAAAACAGGCGCGTTCAGCATCAGATCTTCCTGATACCACCATATGTGCTAAATCTTGTGATGATGATAATAATCTGGATGAATTGGAAGAAAAAGTTGGTGAACGTCTGCTTTGTGGTGTTGTTCGTGTTGGTGCATTGGGAAAAAATGTACTCTTAAGGGGTGAACATTCAGCAGAACTAGTTTTAATATGTTCTAAATGGCCTACTAAAGAGTTAACAACTTATGTATCAACTAGTATTACAAAATTAATGGAGGTTAGTTTACTTTGCTCTATGTGTTTTTTTGTTAAAATATCACTTTTCTGATAACTTATCATTGAATAAATTTTATTCACTTTGTCAGATATCTTGCACTTGTCTACTCAAGAACAGTTGTAATTAAGACCTGTAGTAATTAACATTTTGTAAATAGTCACCGACAACAATTGACAAACAGTACGAATTGTTTAATTTCTCTCTGCACCTACACAATATTTGGTATTATTTATCGAATATTTTTCCTCGTCTAGATTTCCAGGGGTTGAATTTCTACCGGGAGGTTCACTTGTTGACTTAGAATATGCTGATGACATAGTTTTGTTTGGTGAAGACGCTGACAAAATGCAGAGTCTTATGACCACTCTAAGCAACAATGCAAGCATGTTCGGGATGCGATTCTCCCCCTCGAAATGTAAAATGTTGCTTCAGGTAAGGATGGCAAATCAATTGATGACGTAGTGAAACTTCATCAGTTGAGATGGCTGGGACATGTGTTACCTATGCCCAACGACCGACTGTCTCGACGTGCGATGTTTTGTTGTATAGGAGTAGGTTGGAAGAAAGCTAGGGGTGGCCAGACCAAAACATGGCACAAGTCCACAAAGTCACTGACAAGTGGACTGAGTCATGTTGGTAGGTGTAGACTACTTGGTTGGGGACCGCGAGATGATAGCAACCGATGGTTAGAGACCTTGAATGACATGGCTGAAAATCGTTTGCAATGGCGCAGGTGCATACACTCTTTGTGTTCTCCCAAATCCTAATCTTCTGAATTCTTCATGTCCCTTTCCTGTTTCTCTTTTCACTGTATTATACTCCTTGAATAAGATCTTCAAACCCTAAGTTTTCTGATTACAGCTTATAGTTTTACTACATCTAGCACTACGGGATTTGAATCGACCACTGCATCTCTGTGCTAATGTGGTGTGGCAACCCGAACTGATGTACGTACGTACGAAGTTCTACGTTGTTACTGACTGACTAACTGATATTTTTCAGAAGGAAATGTATTGCGCACTTGTAACCAAGTTAATTATACTTTTAAAATACATTAGTCTGGTTAACAGTTAAGTCTGTCTAAAGGATTCCACTTGGACGAGGATACCATCTTTTCCCTAATTTTATTAAGGTTTACAGAAAGTTTATAATTTACTATAATCGCTTCATAAATATTTATTATTTTATTGCAGTTGGGGTACCAAAAAGTATTTATTTTTTATTATAGTTTGAGATCTTGTGTACTGTTCGAGTAGACCGTCCTTTAAATTTTCAATTTAATAAATCTAGCGCACAAGGTAGTAAAGCAACGTTAAAGGAAATTGCTTAGTATCCGAGAACCACAGCGATTTCATGCACGATTGATTCCCTTGAGTGACAAATCATTGCTTTCAATTAGTTTAGGCTCAGGGTTTTCCAACCCCCATGTTCCTCTATCCTATCTCCCTGGAACGCATTTAATAAGCTATCAATACAGGACGGAATTCATTTGAAAAATCATTACATTTGATCAGTTTATTCTTCGACCTTTTAATCAATTTAGCTGTCTTACTGGTTTCTAGTTACACCTGCCCGCCATCTTTAACGTAACTGACTATGTCTTTTTAAATCTCTTTTCATAAAGTTTTTCGCACACTAAATACCTTCACTAATAATATGTGTGACAGTTTTGTCGCTGACATTTATCTAAAACTAATTTTTGGTCTCAATGACTGACCTTCAACTTAGCTTACCGTCTTATTGGTTTCGCCTCCTGTATATCATTCGCTATCCGCTAAAGTCACATCCTATCGTCATTGTATACGGTCCTCTTCTGCCAAATCACATAACTTGTATTTTTCTAGGACATAAAAATATCATTCCATTATTGTCATTATGAAATAATTGGATCTGCGGGATTAGACTTGTGCAGCAAGTGTGATCAATGGTAAAAATTACTACTTTGTCGTGGAAAAACTCTGCGCTAATATTCTCAAATATAGTTACTAGACATTTGGTAAGTATAATTTAGCCCGTTCGTTAAAGGTGTATTAGATCTATGTTAGACTACCCAAATTATGATTAGTTTTTTGTAAGTTTTCAAGAATTTTCCGAAAACCCTAGTCGATATATCCTGCAGGTTCATTATATTAGGGTGAACTTCAGAAATCTCTTTATTGTGAGATATTTTCAATGAACCTGAAGGTGGTATCGATCTTGGGTTGTGATTGGAATATGTTGGCTTGATTTTTTTCATACAGTCACTGGAATCCCGTCTTCAATATACTGTCACAGCAGAGCCTACTATGGGAACAATTACGGTCGTTGTGTCCTGTCCAGATCCATCCTTACTGAATAAAAGTGACACCTGTGAAGTAAATTTAAAACCTGCTTGCAAAGAAAACGAATCTGCGATATGGCCTACTATAACACTGGTAATCAACTTAACTTCCCCGATAGTAGTTCAAAAAAATGAAGCCGCTCCTGAAGATAAAAATGGTAATTATATTCTGTCTTTAAAAATGCGTTTTTCACAATCATTGTATGCAATTTTATTTTTCTACCTGGCGACCGACAGTTCCTACGTTTATCAGTCACCTAAGTGGGAAACATAAGTCATACATTTTGCATCCCTGAAACATGTTCACATACTGTTTTATAGATATTTATGTTGTAAACGAGTGAAATACAGCGACGAACAATAAGGCACTAGTTTTATGTACTCGTATATGATTCATATCAACCTCAATACATTTCTTAGTATTATTAGGAAATTATCTCAGAAAAAAGGTTATCATAACGACCTGTAAAGCCAAATTACTATAATGATTCATTCTGTGCCGGTTCAACAGAAATATACAAGTATAAAAATGAAAATTATGTTTCACCGTCATTTCATTTAACGATAGTTTGAAAAATAAACAACAATAAAAGCATATTTCTAGTGTTCTTGTTAAGTCCTTTGAGCTACAAAGTTTGATTGTGAAACTTTTATTGTCGTTCTTGACAACGTCATCATCAAGCTCACTATAGAAACTTGTGTTTCGAATTATAGGTGGTTGAGTTATTCTGGATTTGACTCAGAAAATATTACAAATATCTCAATTCCCTCAACGGCCACTCCTGTAGCTCTTCTAGGGTTAGTGCCGGTTACAAGCCCGTGTAAAGGAAAAAGGTTAGGTATGGAATCAGCAAACCCGTCCCATATAAAACAATCTTTCTACAAAGCGCTAACCAGAAAAAATCATTTAAATTCCGTCTTAAGAGTTGGAGGATCTTCTTTCAGAAGAATTATGACCCCTCTTGTTGAAAGCCGAGATTCTTCGGAAGTCATTTAACCGATGCCCTTTCTAACAACCAGAGCAACAATTTTCATAGGTACATGCAATGTTCAGACAACGTAGGAGACCGGGGAGATCAACCTAATTGCTACGGAAATAAGAAGATACAACTTGGGGGTTCTCGTAATCAGTGGAACACCTTAGACCCAGGCTGGACAACAGATAACAAATTCGGAAGAGATGCTGCTGTACTTCGGTCACGAAGAAGAAAATTCTCTACACACTCAGGGAGTTATGATGCTGTCCAAAGAAGCACGAAAAGCACTTATAGGATGGAAATCTCATGAATCCAAGCTCATCAAAGTATCCTTCAAAACAAAGGAGACGATCATAATGAATATTGTCCAGTCCAATACATTCACCAATGATAGCAATGAAGAAGATAAAAACCGGTTTTCTGAGGCTGCAGTCGATAGGAAAAAGTTGCTCAGGAACTAACCAGCCTGATACAAGATGCAAAACCCAAAATCAAAGTGGACAACACTGAGTATGAAGATATCAACAGGCCGGATTCCGTAAGAATCGGTCGCGCACAAACCAAATAGTGACATTATGGATCATTGTTGAACAATCGATTGAATTAGTGTGTATCATTACCAAGGTTTGACTTTATAAGTTCCAATAAATTGAGCATTGGGAAGATTTTTATCAATAAAAATATCATATTTGTAATACCCCAATCAGATATTACGAATATATTATAATTGTTAATAATCAATTGAATGGAATTCGTCACTGTATATCAACTTCCTTGACTATGAAAAAGGCGTTTGACAGAGTGGATAGGTGAACCTTATGGAACATTCGTCGACACTGATGTGCCTGAGAAGATCGTCAATATCATACGGCATTCATACGACGGACTATGTTGCAAAGTCGTGCATGGAGGACAGCTGACAGACGCTTTCTGAGTAGGGGCCGGAGTCAGACAAGGCGGCTTACTGTCTCCCTTTCTTCTGGTGGTTGACTGGATTATGAAGACCTCTATGTCTGAGGAATACAATGAACAGCTTACATACAACTAGACGAGTTGGACTTCTCAGATGACCTGACTTTTCTATCCCATACACATGAGCGAATGCAGGTCAAGACAACCAGTTTAGCAGAAGCCTCTGCAGCAGTAGACCTCAACATACACAAGGGAAAAAGCAACATCCTCAAATACAACATGGAGAACACCAACCCAATCATACTTCATGGAAAAGCCCTGGAACAGGTGGAAGAGTTCACGTACCTAGTCAGCACCATCGATGAACAATGAGGATCGGATGCAGATGTAAAGGCGAGGTTTAGCAGAGCAAGGGCGGCATTTCTACAGTTGAACAACATACAGAACTCAAAACAACCGTCAACCAATATCAAAGTCCGAATCTTCGATACGAACGTCAAGATAGTTCTGCTGTATGGAGCCAAAACTTCGAGAACTACCACAATATCATAAAAAAGGTACAATTATTTATAAACAACTGTCTGCACAAGATACTGAATGTCCGTTGACCGGATACCAATCAGTAACAGCCTATTGTGGGAGGAAACAAACCAACTTCCATCTGAAGAGGGAATTATGGAAGAACAATAGGAGTGGTGGATAGGACACACATTGTGGAAATCATCAGACTGCATCACGAGGCAAGCTCTAACTTGTAATCCTGATGGGAACCAGGAAAGAGGAAGGTCAAAGAACACGCTGAGACGAGAATTGTAAGCAGACATCAAAGGATGAATAGCAACTGAAAATGATTGCTCGGGACAGAGTTCAATGGAGAATGCTGGTGGGTGGACTATACTCCTCCATGAAATGTAACGGACTTAATAAGTACCATTGTGAAGTCACGGTACACCATCATATTTTGCCTTCATCTGGTATTCACACAGGTGAATCATCGTTGCCTGATTGAAAAACATCACTGACGGAAATTTCTAAAATATATCAGTGTCTGTTAAACCTTTCCATCTAATATCCTAAATGTCATTAGGAATTGTCACTAAATGTCTTGTTACTCAGTTTGAACGCTAAACTCTCCTCCAATGCTTTAAGTGGATTTATGGTTTTGACTCTCCTTTTGATCATGGACACATTTTGTTAGTAGCAATTCTAGTGACCTTACGTAGGTTTTTAAATCTTTTTATTCAGGATACTTGTTAACGCCATACTTGAAACCCATGTAAATGAACCAACAGATATCAGTAAATAGTAAATACGGTTATAGGAGTTAGTGGTTTATTGTGCATAGGGCAATGTGAAGACATTCGCTCATACAGTTGGTCAATAAATATAGAATTAGTTTTTAATAAAATTTGACCAATTATAATTTAAAAATGAGACAAAACCGTGTAAGTGTCCTTTGGATATTTACACTGTATATATGTACTCATCTGGAACTGATGATAAGTTTTTCTGTCTCTAAACCTACAACACATACATTTAAATACAAAAAATTTTACTAAGTCTTTTCAGCCGATCACCTCTGTGATTTTCCTTGTCTTTATTTTCACTGTACTGAATGTGTATATTCTTGATTTATTCTACTATTTTATTCTGTATGTTGTTCATGGAGATTTATGTTGACTACGTTTGTCGCTTTTAGTCGTTGTGATTATATACATAGTTCTTATTCCCTTGTGTAGAAGTCCCACCAGTTGTCCAACGTTTGATCGTTGATGGTCATCCAATTCCCAAAGAAAAGTGCATCAAATCCATAGATGCTCTTGATCATGCTTCATGGTTTCAAGTAAGTGCTTCAGTATTTCAGTTTGTCTGAAAAAGTAGTTACTTTTTCCAAGTTATTTAGTACTTTTCTTTTAGAAGTAAAATTTTAGATGCTATCAGTTTAACCTTGCATATCTCAACCTCTCTATTAGTTCTAACAGCATCTGATATCACAGTATTCATGATCAAATTCCGCTCTAACTTCCTAATATTTCTGATGTGTCCATGATCAACCATTCTCTTTGTCTTCATACGCTACCAGTGCTGACCATTCGAGTTCACCAAACGCTATTCGTAGTCTCCTGAAACCACTCTCGAAACTATATGTTTGAACCTCATGTCAAATAATACAATAAGCTTTCTTAGCCAGAACCATGTGATCTCTCACTATCTCTTTATGTTGTTTCTCCAAAACACATACAGGATCACTCACTTTTCACTTAGTCTTTTTGAAGATCTGGAGTGGTTGGACAAAAAGAAATTTCAGATGGTTTCTCTTTAATGTTCTTATGATTATTTTCATATCATATTTTGATTTTAACCATTTATGTTTTCCATTCAGCATATTGCGAGCGGAGGTCCGATACTCTTAATTAGTCGTATTTTACGCGACTTTATCCAATCTAATGAATACTGGATCGAATTAAATGAATTTGTAAGTTTTCATTTAGTTCTGCGTTACGCGTAACAGTTCCATTTTTATGTAGTTTCTTTTTTAAGAATGGATTTACTCGTACATATAAAGTCTCTCAGTATAATTCTTAACTTCCTAATTTTTCCCAGTATAACCAGTCATTTATACATATTCATTTGATCCCAGCTTTCTGTATTTGCAACTGGACTGATATATCGTATTAAATACTGTTTCATCGAGTGGATTGCTAAAAAGTAATAAAGTTCTCTGTTTAGTGTCTAAATTATTTCGTTTTAAAGTGTTTGTTCATTAGTGGACTCTGAATATTTTATTGTCTTTTATTTTATTAGGATGTTGAAGTACACTTAGATCATCTCTTATCTTTAGAGTACAATATGGTTATTCGTTCTGGTTTCACTTCCCTCCCATCTCAGTGTGGGTCACCGAGAAATATGCTTTCTGTACCAAGTGACTTTTTCCATCCTTGCAAATTACTACGTAGATTTTTTGAATCAATGGCAAATGGATATTTGTTCTTTGCAATAAAACATTCATCTAATTCAAATAACACTGAGGATTCTCCTAGGGAGAATAATATACCTGTGGCGTGTACAAAACCATTTTATGTTACAATTTCTAATGGAATATCAGATGAAGTTTGTGAAAAAATAACTGTTTCTGCCCAACAAATAGTCAGACAAATTGCTTTTAATCAATTATACAAGGTAAGTGTTCTTATTCCTGCTCTAGGATTGTTTTTCTTATACGTAACTTCAATGATTAAAACAATCATATCCTTTCGAAAGCAATCACCTTAGAACACACATTTGTTTATATCACTTAGGTTTTACTATAGTATTCCTATGTTATACTATCGCTTTGTATATGTAGCTTTTGTGTATACTTGTCTTAATTCACCACTGGGAAAATCCAATTATCTTCACCTTTTTTCTTATATGACTAGTTCTTATGCATTCTACACCAGCAAGTTGTCCTGCGTTTTAAATTATTTGTCCAATTTGTTTAGACTTTTATCTCTAAAAATCGATTTCACTCCGCCCTGAAGATATATTAAGCTGTCCAGGCACGTTTTTCTATGTAACTTTTGTGTTTAATTGTTAATATTAATAGTATACTATTGTCGTCCAACACCAGTCATCTACCTCCCGTTATGTTAAGGGATAAATATAGAAAGTGGTATGTTGTATTTTGTTAACAGTGAATTAAAAGAAGACAGTTAATTAGCTAAGACAAATTAACCAGACTTTTATTTTCGCTAATCCAGATGAACCTTGCATTCCAATTTTTTACTGTTTATTTACAACCAATTCTCTAGGTTCTTGGTATGGAACCTCTGGATTTGCCTCACAACTCAGATTTTGTCCAGTCAGGTGGTAAACAAGAACAAAATCCCGATGTTTCACAAGGTCAGGATACTTCCGAAATCGAATGTTCAGCTGATGATAAGAAGCAACAAAATAATTCATCTCTTAATGTCAGTTCTGTAGCAAATGGCATGAAAACACAGGAATTCGCGGCAGAAGCACTAAACGTTGAGTCAGAATGCACTCCGGCCAAGCGAACTCGCCGCGCTACCGCCAACTCGAAATCTTCCATTTAATTATCTGCATTTCAATATTACACGTCCATTTATTTGGTTCCACTGTCTTGAAGTTCTTTTATATCATCCACATGTTGTTCATTCGTTCTTAATCAAATATACAATTTCCTAGTTATTGTGTCTACGTTGTTCTATCAGGTACCGTAAAATCAATTGTGATTTATTAGAGACTGGTGAAGAGAAGTGTTTAACGTAACTAAGTTCCCGCTTTTTATTAAGACAGATTAGCCTTTTACGACGTAGTTCAGTTGGTTGGGTTGAGTAGTGTTCACTTCAAGAGTTATCTGATTTAAACATGCTCCCAAGAATGTTCAGGTGTTTAAAAGACGTTTGTTAATGACAAGTAAATGCATTTTATCTGTAGTCCAGAATGTTATGTAGTCACTTCAGTCTTTGGACTTTAGTATTACCAAGGACTCGTAAGGTCTGTATTTTCACCATAATGTCAATGACTATGCAAGATTTAGTCAACTATCAGTAACAATTTGACTGGCAATACACCTGCAAAGTTATATCAACTGAGATAACATGATTGTAATTTTTAGATCGCTAGTCAGCGAGTTATACTTGTGTGCATGTTGCACAATGTTGCGACCTACCTGTCATTTGGGATTGTCTGTAGTTTATTGTTCAGGTCTTATGTATTTCCTAGTGAAAGTGAAGTAAGTCAGTATATATCGTCATTGGGTTGTGTAGCCTTGGGGTAAGACCCTGCAACGTTTCAGCTTTTTCTGTAAATGGCTTACAATTCTGAGTCGGTTGACTGCATCGACTGTGGTTACGTTTTACAACTCCATCAGACGGGACTACAAGTGGTCTTAGCTAATTTGGCTGTCAACCGTCCTACGTAAGTGGATGGAAAAGAATTCCTTGAAATATGTACAAGTCCAGATTAGGGTCTTTTTAACTCTAGAACAAACTTGCCTGTCATCGGCAAGGATTGCCTTGCATTCGTGTTCATATTCATTTTGTCCCACAGTTCATTGACGAATGAGCCCTTCAATATGCGGGCCTCTGAAGTGACATTGAGTACTGGTCAAGCCGATTCACTATACTTTATTTCAGAAAACCAATCTAGGGATGTTCACTGACTGTGCAGTTTGTCAGGGTCGACAGTTAAAACTCAGAACTAATTAGGTGACTTTTGAAGACCAATGCACGTAACTGCTCAATCTTGTTTTGAAGCAATGTCCTACTTTTATCCTTTTAAGTAGTGCATACAACTGCTAAATTTTATTTCACTTAAACTACAATCATTATGTGCACTTCGTTAAATTTTCGTTACATGTAACGTATGCACGGGAACTTCCCACGGGTGACCACAGTGATACAACGTAAAAAATTTATTCTTTTCCTGTAAGCTTCAATAATGTCTATATTTGTTGAACTACAATCTCTGGTTTCGGTCTGCTGATTAACATGTTCGAAACTCAACATTCCTCTGTCCGTACACATTCGGCGATCAGTGTCGCGTTGCATAGCCGAAAAGGTATATGACGTTACACAGCGCAGTGGTGCTTATGGTTCAGATTAGATTTAACGAAAAAGTTCATTCACTGTGTTTACTAAAGATTGTGTTAACATGCAGGAACTGTTATCACGCAGTTTTTGGCCAGAGAATTGCTACCAGTTCATATCGAAGCCACAGCTATTTCGTATAAAAAATTAGGCAAAATACTATTTAACCAATCACGGAAGATTATCTGCCTAAAATCTTTGTCTGAATAGCATAACGAGTTCTCTTGAAAACAACATTTGACACCAGTCTGTTGATAACGTTGTATTGGTGGACAGTGCTAGCGGAGTGTAAATACCGTGTGTATAGGTCGAAATGTTATACGTGAGAGACTAAACTGAGCCCTTCAGAATGAGGAAAGCACAAGTGACTGTTCCTTTTTCGATAAGCCATTACCAGTCTTTCAGGGCTGGAAAATATAAATAAACATATTTTTCCGTTTATTTTTGGTCTTCACCTAACAATCTCTTCTTCCGCTTTCTTATGTCTTCAGATTAGTGACTGTAGGGGGTTCTATACGTTAGAGTGCCATCAGTTGTGTGTTGTATTCTGCGTTAATCAAGTAGAGAACTTGACGGGAACTTATATAGGACGAGCTGAGATTTTTTTATCTCAACAAGAAACATAATGTATATATATATCTTTTTCTGACGAATCAAAAGTTTTATTCATTCTCAACTTCTATTGAAGAGAGTAATATTTCAGTGACCATCCAGGAAGACATAAACAGGTTATACGAATAGGCTTTCATAAAATCTGTCACTAGGCGGTAATAAAAGTAGTTTTATTTATCGGGGCCTAAATCTTCTTTTAACACAACCATATGCTGGAACTCTTCAACAATGTTCATGTCCTCGGCTTAAGGTATATCACTAGTTTGAACTTTACTGGGCACACTGCATCTCAAGTTCAACTACACTAAATCTAGATCGTTATTATTATATGAAAAATGTATCATATTTATCTCTGAATATGGCACGCTAGTTCAAAGCAATTGTAGGCATAATGATTTTGGTGGAGTTTTGTTCTCTGAGCTGGATGGTTTGGTTTTGGGGCTTTCATCGTTCTTCTGAACGACATCATCAGCACAAACTTCAGATAGAAGTGAAGTGTTCGAATTTCTCCATATGTGTTTCACAGCTTGTTCTGTGCACCTCGATGTTGATTGGTTCTTGTTGACCTTAAATTTAAGGTCACATATGGAGAAATTCGAACACTTCACTTCTATCTGAAGTTTATGCTGATGATGTCGTTCAGAAGAACGATGAAAGCTCCACGACCAAACCATCCAGCTCAGAGAACAAAACTCCACCAAAATCATTCACCTGAGCTACAAATCTTCTCCACCATCTCAAAGGCATAATGATTTGACGAATTAAAACCACTGAAAGGAAATGCACCAAAGCTGGTTTGAGATATTCTGATAGTATTAATTATAGCCAAAGTTGTTACAAACCCACATTAGAATCTCCCTAGGCCGGTCGATTCAAAGCGAACTCTGTCTTTATTTACCGGCATCCAAATGTCATTTTTTACTCTTCAGGATCATCCATTTAGTTTCTCATCGTGTCATCCCAAAATCTCTACGACGTGAATAATATTCACTCAGTCCCGAAAACCTAAACTCCTAACGCTGACTTGGCATGGATCACAATGGGGAAGTTACTTCATGAGAACAAATATGCCATATATTTTATATACCAGCCATCGTTTTCTTCTGCCAACAAGCATCAGAGACTTTCAAGTATCTGTAGTGGTATTGGTTCCTAGCCACATGATTTTCTCAGCTGGACGTATAATTACTGAGAAGGCTTACAACTTGCATCTTTACTGGATCATGGTTTACAAATCATGGAAAACCTCCCTTATTCCAATCAGTTATATTATCTTTGTATTCAATTTCAGACACGTTTCCTACTGATCATCATGGTGTTCTTCTTAATTCGTCTTCAGATGATTTCCTTAGAAGACACTCTGTGTTGGTGTTGGTACATTTTCCGCTTTGGTTAATCTTTATGTTCTTTACAATATTTCTGTAGCAAAACTTTCCAAAATCGATGTTCGTCAAGTCGTTATAAATCAGATAGATTCCCCCCCTTCTGAATAGTGTGTACGGATCATGAATATCATGAACAAACGTAGTGTACATGACACATGTATTTAAATAATTAAGTAGTGACCTTATGATCCAGAGAAATCGAATAAGTAAGTCTTCCACCTCGTACCTAACTTCCTTACGCCTGTGCATAGGCCGCACAGCAGCATTCTCTATCCAACTCCGTCCTTGTACCCAAGAAACTTGGAAAATCACGCACAGAGAGGACGGTGATCACATATATTGGTAATGTTATCAAAAGAGAGTAAGAAACTGGTTTGGTTTCAATAATAGTAAGAAACCACTTTCGGCGTTCATCTTCAATCACTAATGTTATCGTTAACTACTTTTTTATTCTTTCGAGCTTGCGAAGTCCTTAATCAACTCTTTTTAACTGCCTGTAATAACTGAGCATCTCCTACAGCCCAGACACCAATCTCAAGGACCCAGTAGTATGCTATTTACGCCTAAAATTTTCGGTTTTCGAGAGTTGTTTGCTGACCCCATAAACCTAACTGCCCTGAGACAAAAGCATTCCGATTACAAGATATACAAGCTAGCCGGAATATTCAACGTTTACCAAGACAAAAGAGGAAATGTTAGAACGTTGATATCAGCTCTGTAACAGAAAGTACCATGGAACACTATTGGTCAGTAGAAAATAAATGTATAATTAAAATCCGGGAAGCTGAGATAAAATATGAAACGCAGCTGGCAGCCTAAGAGACTGTTCTCATACATAACTTACAGAAAAAGGATGCAGTATCAGATTCTCAACCAAATTAGGAAGGGAATGGACCTAAAATAATAGAGGATGATCGGGAAAAAGTAGAGGCGATGACAAACCATTTCAGGACAGTTTTCACTTGGCAGCCTCCTCTCAACGATGAAATAGACCTAAATAGAAAGTCAACTAACCGTCTGCGCACGGTGAACTTTGATCAAGTCGATGTACTCAAGGCTTTAACATCTTAGGCACGGAAAAGTCAACAAGACCAGACGAACTTTACCCCGAAATCCTGAGACAAATTGCACAATATATTACAGCCTCACAAATTGCATCATTCAATGTGTCACATGATCAAGGTGTGTTACCCACGGAATATAGGGGTTTAATCGTCACTCCATTACGTAAAACAGTACCAAGACAACTCGTATTGAACTACAAACCTGTCAGCCTCACCAGCGTCGTAGTTAAAATACCGGAAGGAATAATCGAAAAGATCATAATTATGTTTGTGGAAACCAACAACTGGTTACACGCCGAACAACATGGTTTCAGAAGATGTTTATCTTGCACAACAGACGTCCTTATAGCAAACCTCTAGACAATGGAAAATCAATAGTTGTTGTCTACATGGACTTCAGTAAGGCATTTGACAAGGTGCCGGCAAATAGATTGCTATTGAAGCTGAAAATCTAGACATTGCCGGATCTCTCCTAAGGTGGCTTAAGGATATCATAGTAGGTCGTAGACAGAAAGTAACAGAAAATTCAAAGTGCTTTACCTGGAGACCAGTACTTAGTGGAGTACCTCAAGGTTTTGTCTTAGGTCCTTAACTTTTTATATTGTGTATAAATGACCTCCCGAGTATAGTTGAGCCCCCGATTTAATTATACGCTGATGGTGTAAAAATCTGGCGAAAAATAATGGGAGACTCAGATGCATGCGCGCTTCAGGCAGACCTAAATATTGTGATTAATTAGTCTAAAGAATGGCTGATGCCTGTCAACGCAGCAAAGTGTCTATATGCACATTGGGGATACAGTGGTAAATAAGTACAGCATAGGGGAGGTGCGTATACCTGTGGCCCGGTCTCGCAAGGATCTTGGAGTGACAGTGAAACATTGTCTTAAGACCACTGTCCGCTACCGGGAGTTTACGGCTAAGAGGTCTAGAACCCCACTGGCTGTAAGACGGACATTACCAAGTTAGATACTACCATTTCCAATACAATATACGAAATCCTACGCAATACTAAGCTAGAAAACTCCATCCAGGCTGCAAGCTCCTGCCTAGAAGGTGACTCAGATATCCCGAAGAAAGTACAGAGGTCAGCTACTGATGCAGTTCCAGAACTACGGGGTTTACCGTACAAAAGGTGGCTTGGAAAGCTAGACCTCTTTACTCCGTCCTACCGCGAATAACGAGGTGATATGATTTTGATGTATAGAATAATAAGAAAAGCTTTTGAACTTAATATATCCCCTCTTTTTTTTCCTACTAGATCGTGACATCCTAGAGGACGTAGCAGGCTAGCAGAAAGACCAACAACGAACAAAATACCCGGGGCATACAGGTGTTCACACCGAGTCGGCAATACTTGGAACTCGTTACTTGAAGCAGTGGTACCCGCATCTTCAGTTGACTCATTCAAGAGAACACTGGACACTCATAGAAGCATACTAGAAAAGGCAGAACATTGACCGTAGGCTTTCTGTCCTTGCTACACAAATCTGAACAAGGAACTGCCAAACCAACTGAAACTAGTGAAGTTGAATAGTTAAAAAAAAGCTTATTGAACCGTACATAAAGGACCTAGAACTGCACTGGAACAAAAGCAAGTGAGTCCAAAGAATTTAAACTCAATACTCAAGGGCATCGCGATGATATTGGATATCGTATATTACAGTTTACTGCCACCTTTAAAGATGAAGGTCGTTTGGCACCTGAAGTCATGTCGTACTTTTCACACCAGTGTACTTTGTCCTCAGTGGCGCTTGAAATTACTTGAAAACACAGTCGTTCACTGTCATGTTTTCACAGTACCAGTAAACCACTTCTTTTCAACTCGTAAAAAAGATGTAATCTCTGATATGATAATTACTACGATCTACAGAATCAACTTACGATATTCACGATTCCTAATTTAATTACAGCTTCACGAATCACACTTATCCCTTTTATTGTTAAATCTATTTTTTGCTGTGATTTGAGTATGGCTTTAGGTCTTACTATCGTTGCCGGATTCACAGATACGGTGAGATTTTGTTTGGCTTTTTTATATGAAACATGTGAAGTTAGATGGGCTTATAGCCCGAAATGTGTCCAACCAGGCCTCAAATGTTGGAAGTTTTTTGGACCCTCTTGCTGACAAACTTCTTGTGACTTCTTTGGTTTTGTCATTGACGGTGATGGATTTTTTCCCAGGTAACAAGACGTTTATCAGCTGAGATTCCACTAGTCAGTCTTGCCTGTCTTTTTATTTTCCGTGATTTGGGAATAGTTATCACAGTTTTGTCTCTAATGTTCCGGAATTTCGGTTCAGTAGGTTCGCATATTCTGTAAAATTTCTTCAGCTTACTACGAAGATATTCACCGAGAAAGTTGAAATGAAGGCATCAAATATCAGCAAGGTATGTTTACTTCTCACAGTTAGTTCAATGGTGTGAAATTTTCTTAAGTTAGATTGGTTATATCTGCGGCTTAACTCAATATTCTGTTTGACCTTCTACTGTCCCGTAAAATTAATTACACACCTTTGAATGTTAGTTTGATGCAATTATCTTCATGAAGGTATGAATCAGTGCCTTGTTCTCAGTTGCTTTTTAGTCAGCGTGAATGATAACAAGATTAAGTTTCGTTCTCTTAGCCTTAAATTATGCAAAAACTTCAAATCTCTCTAGTCCTTTCGTAGTTCTAAAACCCCTTTCGCTCACTCTCCAGTTTCTTAGGTATGAATGGTCCTGACCAGTGTAATTTGTAAAATCCTAGCTTCAGTAAAGATCTGGAGTTTATCCTGAATTTAGGAACAATATACTGGATTAATCTGGTTACTTTCAAACCTGGTCGTTAATGTATTGACGAAATCCCTACCATTCTTTGAGTTTTTGAACATAAACACCAATGTCCTTTAAACTTAATTAAGATTATGCATTTACACTTGTTCTTAAACAGAGAGGTATAACTCATCCGGTTTTGCTCTTCGATAGAACAACAATTTTAGTGTTGTAGAACTTGTCAGTTTATTAGCAAACGGTAGCCGTGCACAACTTAACTCATTGAATCTTAGTTGAATGAAGAAACTTACCTTTCTACTTAAATTTTGACTAAGACACCATGTTTTGACCTTTTGTTAAAAATCAGGCTTCTAATCACCTTTCTACACACATGTTTGTTTTGTACAGCTATCCGTCTAGGTCTGTTTGCGTCTTACGGTTAGTCAGTCAGCTACGGCGTAGGACCAGGTACATATGTGCATCGGTTCAACTTGCCACACCTCATTAACACAACAAGGTGAACACCAAAATCGTAGTAGTTACTTCATTGGTAGTAACATAAAATAAATATAGCATATAAGGATATAATACAGGAAGAAAGAATTAGTTCGTAGAAAGAAAGGCATAAAGTAACTTTAGTCTCATAGTCAGTCAGTCAGTCAACTACAACGTAGGACCAGGCACATATGTGCATCGGTCCAGGTTGCCATACCGCATCAGCACAACAAGATGAACACCGGATTCATAGCAGTGGTTAGGTCAAAGGTGGTAATATATAAGAGAAAGATTGCATATAGAGATATAGTGCAAGAAGAAAGAATTGGTTCGTAGAAAGAAAGATATGAAGTGATTTTAATCTCTTAGTTTAAGGGAAGACAGGGAGTGTATACACCGACGCCATTGTGATCGATTCTGAGCCATGTCACCAAGAGTCTCCAACCATTGGTTACGAAAGTCACGCGGACCCCAACCAAGTAGTCTGCATCTACCAACATGGCTCAGACTAGAAGTTAGTGACTTCAAGCACTGATGCCACGTTTTGGTTTGGCCGCCCCTAACTTTCTTCCAACCAACCCCTACACCGGTTAGCATTGCACGTCGTGGTAATCGGTGTTCAGGCATACGTAATACGTGGCCCAACCATCTCAGTCGATGAAGATTCATAACCTCATCAACTGATTTACCATCATTCCCTAATACCCTGCGTCTAACCTCACTATTACTTACCCGGTGATCCCAGCAGATGCCAGCAGTATTTCTAAGGCATCTGTGGTCAAATACTAATAGCTTACGAGTGTCTTCTACTCTTAATGGCCATGTTTCGCTGCCGTAAAGTAAAACAGAACGAACTGCCGCGCAGTATACCCGTCCTTTTATTGATAGACGGATATCTCGCCTTCGCCAAAGGTGACGCAAGTTGGCAAAAGCCAAGCGAGCTTTTCGAATCCGTTCTGAGATTCCGTCAGACACCAACCCATTAGGGCTGATCAGACTTCCAAGATAAGTGAAGTTGTCAACGCGTTCGATCACTTCACTCCCTATCCTTAGTTCATGTGTTGACGCAGACCAGTCCTGAAGCAACAACTTGCATTTAGAGGGAGAGAAGCGCATTCCAAACATTCTGGCATTGTTGCTTAGTGCTACCAAAAGACTCTGCATTTTGTCAGCGTTTTCACCAAACAGGACTATGTCATCTGCGTATTCTAAGTCGATAAGTGGACCTCCTGGATGGAGATCAATACCCGAGAACTCAGTCGACGAGAAAGTTATTTCCATCAATAGATCTATGATGAAGTTAAACAAAAATGGGGAAAGTGGACAGCCTTGACGGACACCACTTGAGGTTGCAAAAGTAGATGACAGTTCGCCATAAGCTCTGACTCGACTAGTAGTGTTCGAGTAAAGAGCCGTCCCAAGGTTTATGTACTTCTGTGGTACGCCTTTCAATGACAGACACTGCCACAGAATCTCGTGGTCTACGGAGTCAAATGCTGCTTTTACGTCGAGAAAGACCACCATTGTCGGACGCCGATAAGTATGCCTGTGTTCTAGAATCTGACGAATGGTGAATATGTGGTCGATGCAGCCACGACCAGGTCTGAAGCCAGCTTGTGTCTCTCGTGTTTGCAGTTCACGAGTCTTAGTTAGGCGTCTAATAATTATCGAAGCTAGTATTTTAGATATTATATTAGTTAAACTAATCCCTCTGTGGTTGTCACAGGATGATTTTGACCCTTTCTTATATATTGGGACGATAACTGATTGTGACCAGTTAGATGGGATAACGTCTAACTCCCAGATCTTAGTTAAAATATTAGTCAACCTAATCGCTAAAATTGGACCACCATCCTTAAAGACCTCTGGAGCCAGTCCATCTGGACCAGCTGCCCTTCCTCGTTTCAGATTAACTATAGCCTTTTGAACTTCAGCAAGAGTTGGGGGACCTACTTCAATGTTCCATTCACACTGTCTGGGAATGGAGGGTAGTTGTAGAGTAGCTGAAGGCCAGTTGGACTGTTCTCTGAAATGTTCCGCCCATCGTTCTAAACATCTGGACTGGGAGCAGATGAGAGTATCGTCTTTTTCCGATATAATCTCACTTACACTTGACTTATTAATTCCAGTTTCTTTTATTAGTCTGTAAAGCTGTCTTGTGTTCCCTATAGTCGCCGCCTTTTCCATCTCTTTTGCTTTCGTTGCCCACCACTGCTCACGGTCGTTTCTTAGACTTTTTCTTAACCTAGATCTGATTTGTTGTCGCTCTTCATCATGTTCGGAACCTGATGGGATAAGTTTGCGAGAATCCATCAGTGTGATAGACTTTGAAGAAATCAATTGGTTCTTTGTAACCCTGTGGTTTAAATCATCGATAGATGTCACTGCTGTTTCCACAGATGTTTGTATGGCTTTCCAAGCAACAACTGGGTCAGCCTCGTCTTCAGAACTACCTAATCGTGACCTCAGTTGTTCCTGGAACCTACTTTTGGTTTCCTCGCTATTCAGTTCGATTCTAATGGGTCTTTTTACTGTGACATTTTTGCGTCCAGTGAGGCGCAAGCAGATGCGTGCTCGTATTAGGGCGTGGTCGGAGTCCAAGCAGGTACTCCAGAATGAGCGACAATCTTCTACCGACCCTCTCCAACGATGACTGATGGCAATATAGTCTATTTGAGTCCATCGTTGGTTTGGTGTAGGGGGTCGCCATGTTAGACGATGTCTCTCCTTATGCTTAAAATTTGTGTTTGCTAAAAATAAGCGATTGTCTGAGCACAGTTGGAGCAGACGGTCACCATTATCTGTTCGCTGTGCCGGAATGCTAAAATATCCACCTAAATGCCTTTCTGTTTGGTTTAAGCTACCTATCTGAGCATTAAAGTCACCCCCTATGAGTACTATGTCTGAGCGTTTAGCTTTCTGAAGAAGTTCGGACAGCTTTCTGTAAAATTCATCTTTCACATCATCTGAGCTGCAGTCAGTGGGAGCGTAGGCAGAAACGACGAAAAGGCAACGACGTGTATCCCCATCCTTCCGAGTTCTTACGGAGCCGTTTAACCGAACAGCACATAGACGACTGTTGATGGGGATCCACCCTAGCAGTGCTTGTTCCGCCCTCATGCTTAGTGCTATGCCTACACCTGCCAGGAAGGTCGATTATGAATACAGTGGTCTCGAGTGCTGTTAAAGGTATGAGGGCGGTTATCACTTCCCGGCTGCCCACACCGAGGAAGGGTTCTTCTGGAGGTACCTGAAAAGGAAATTGGATTAGAGGTGGTCTCAGTGACCTGAGAGCGTGATCGCAGTGCCCAAGGGACAACTGCTTGAGGCCGGTCGCGCACGGCCTTTTCGTGGGAGGTTTTTGACGTGTTAGCTCCGTTCTTCAAAGGGCCTTACCGCCGGAGACAGAAATCCGTGAGGTAAGGTGAGGTGTGCATTTTTAGGGTCGACCTTTTCTAACCCCACCCCTCCTTGTGGGAAGGCAGCATCGCTGTCATGCTGGTTGTCTGAAGGAAACACCTTACTGCTGTCACGCCTCTGTACAGTCAGCAGTACGACTTCGCCTTCGAACCTTGAGTTTGTTGCTTTTAGTCTTACCGCTCTTCAACCGACCTGTCTGACATGGTAGGACTTTGAGGAACGGTTGTTCCAGCCAGTATAGCTCGGTTGCTTCATCACGATAGGCAAGCCCGACCACCACGTCAAGGTAGCAACAACGGTCGGGTTTAGTCTCATAGGATCACAAAGGGTGTATATACCTACTCCATTGTGATCAATTCTGAGTCATGTCACCTAGTGTCCAGCCAGTGGTTCCCCACAAAATAATGAAACTCTTTCCTGGGTAAAAACCTCTGTCTTGCTTAAATTCTTGTCTATTCTGGAGTTTTATTAAACGATTGGTCATTCGTTTTCTCAGTCTTTTAATTGTCTAATTATTATTATTTCCAATAATTCTTACATTGTTTTTATAGCTGAATACTCTTTGTCAATTATCGAGTATCATACTTAGCATGACATATCCTTTGTATGGACTCCCTAACTACGAATACCTAAAGGTTGTATGGTGAGTTAAAATGTTTGCAAAATTTAAATATTTCCATTTTGTGATTTATGAAGGCCTATTTAATTTGATAATCAGTAAGCCATTCATAAGTAGTGTAAAACCTGACACATATGTGTATTAGTTCACCACAAACCGACGTCTGTAAAATTTAAAAGTGAGAGTACTAAACAGTCGCCTTTTCTGGTTCAATACTCCCTAGCGTTGTGTACTCACGGTCTCATAATACGACATTCAAGGTCTCGTAAAAATAACACTTGAGTACTATGTTCGAATTCGGTGATATACATTGCAATGCGTTTTAACAGTCATCAAATGTCATAGATGGGCGTTACTTTATTCTGTACTCGATTAGATCCACAGATCACGACCTGCCATTAGAACTTCTGGGAAAGCAGATCACCATTTAGCACTGCGATTTAATGAAATTTCATAAATACAAGTGTTAGCGGGACATAGACTAGATTAAAGCATGCTCAATGCATGATTGCTTTGGTGCACGCTGATTGGCTAATTCTTATCCAATCAGCACTGGTCGATAGTTGGAGAAGACTCTAGAATCTTCTTATGTAAAAACTATAAATATACTGACGTTTTCCCTATTGTGCTTCCTACTGGCTTCTGACTTGCTATTCGGAATATAATCTTTTTCCTGTTCAACCGTGTTCTGATTTGGGGACTTGTCGAGTGAATCGGTGTCCGAGAATACTAAGCAATAGGAATAGCTGGGTCATTAACCGTAAGAAGAAAGAGATTATAACAACAAGTTTGGAGATAAATTTTGACACAAACTAACAAGTTATTTCTTTGCTGTTTTTTGAAATACATGGTCTAATCATTTTTATATATGTTTTGACTAGTTTATTGATTAATTTGACACTAATTGGCAACAGTTAAACGTGTGACAAACCAAAGATCTAGGAAAAGCAGGTGCGATAAATAAAATAAGGTAGAGTCAAGGACAATACAAATGGAACGCATAGGATATTTGATATTTGAGAAAATATGTATATATCGTAGATTGTTTTACCAACTATAAATTAAAAGATTCGAAGTACCAGTAGATTAATTATGAAATTTCTTTAATAATAATTTTTTTCTGGAGCCGTATCTTTTTTTATCTCTCAAATTGAGCTCTACAATTCTATTTTGTCTACCAAAAATTGTTTTAATACATAGTTTTCTAATGAAGTGTAAATATGCCTCTCAAAAAATCTTTATTTGTGATTTTATCCTAATCTCTCACATGGTATTCTTGTACAAAATCACTTCAAACAGCCACTGTTACTAGCAGTGGGTATTTCACCAAAATCGGTAGTGTATAAACTATTATAAGATAAAAGGTGTTGCTAGTAGAAAGAAATACAGCTACCATGGTCGGTAGTTCTAAGAGCGTTAATAATCATGTGCCTCTTAATGTTACTGCATCAACTTAAAAAAACCCTATTTTTAACAACAAAAAAAACAATTAAAATCAAAATGCTTAACAAACGTAAGTTTAGATAAATTGACCTCTGAGGAGTTTCATATAAAAAGTAGATGCAACCAGTACACTACATATTTCTTATTTGATATCTCTGGCTTATAAATAACCGGCGAATCTTGATTTGATAATCGTATTCCGGTAACAAATATAACTCTATTCCACAAATTTACTATTTCTCTTGCAATCATATTTTCTGTCGAATCTTGCTACTGCCAATTTAATTACCACTACGCCTGTTACACTGATATTCCTTTCGGTAATTCCATTTGTTTTGCTTATGCGGCGTAGCAACTTGAAATGATTAACATTTGTGATATATGTAAGTCCCTGAGTGATATCACTGTCTTACTTCACAAATTAAAATTCCGATTACTATTTTTCTATCTCACATATATTATTCCATCGATAACCTAGAATCTTAGACTTGATTAGTTGTACGTTGTAACTGGCAAAAGTAACATTCAACTATCGTAACATACACTCCTATTCATCTGCCTATCTGCAAGACTTGCTGTATTCCCAGCCTTGGACCTGAATAGAAGCCAGCACTTAAGCTTCTATTATTACTATATTTCGATTGCTCAATCCAGCTAGCCAACATCTCAGACACTCATTAGGATATATATATGCAATATCAGTTTTCACAACACATCTAATAGTGACTGTGGATTAACTGTGTATTTAATCTATGTATTTTATCCACAAAAATATTTAAACCATCAACAGTACTTGCTCACAGTTGTCTAAACCATTTATTTTTGTGGTCCAACAGTGTCATTACATATAAATGCTCACTTCACAATTATGAATTTAAATGTGATTACTAACGATTTCTTCATTTTTGTAAAACTAGATTTACTGAATACTAACACTCATAGTGTTTAGTTAGGTTGAATACACACCTTGTTCTATACTGTGTGCGTTCTCACTGGTATACTGGCGACGTATTGGCAATCAATGATTGGACGTACTTAGTGTCGTTCTCCTTTAGCTTAACCTTCTGTAACTGTTTTCCTAACCAATGCGGTTATGTAATGGTCATTATTTTTAACCATTGCTCGTTATATTGATTAATAGGGTCTTGGAGACAAGCAAGATGTTCCTTTATTAACGATTTAATATTTATTTATAATTGTCTAGCTTTAAAAGTCTGCGTATTATATATTGAACTATCTTTTCATTGGCCAAGTCAGTATTACATTCGGTCGGATTAAAATACTATTCAAATTTTATGATGAGCACATTTAATTTATGGTTAAATCAAACGAAATATGTCGGAAGTAAAACAATCATCATTAATGGCATTGTATTGTTGTTGTACTATATTGCGAATCGATTGAAGTGAAAATTGTACCGTTGAACCTCATGGCTCTAACCGTCAAGTGTCTGCTACGAGACCTATGGCTCCTAGGTTAGATCCCTGGTGAAGTTGTAGTTGTGTACTACTGAGGAGTCTTATACTAGGACTAGACACCTGTCTAGTATTCCCTGACTTTCAGTCATATCCCAACTGAGATTAACCTGTTACTAATACAATCTACAAGTCAAACCAATCTCCATAAAACTCATTCAATTAAATTAAACCACTGAAAAGATATCACATTATTTAGTATAGACAATCTATCATATTACTCATTTTATGTATAATACCATCATTGTTTTTCTTTCAAAATTTATAAATCATTTTTCCTACTAGGCTTCTTTCAGCTGGAACTACAATTGGATCTGGTTTAGGATATTTAAAGAGTTTACCAGAATGGCGGAAACGGATGGCTGAAATCTCCACACAAAAAAATAGATAGATAAACTATTTTATTTTGTACACGGTTTTTTAATCAACAATTTATATCAAATTGTATCTCTTTCAACGAAATGGTTGTCTTCATTGTCAACAGTTTACATATATATAACATGTTATGAAAACTAACCGTTTGATTGAATAAAGTCCAGAGAAATAAACTATTATAAAGAAAATAAATGAGAATATCCCATATACAATTTGAAAACAATTATCACCTATTAACTTATGATAATTTACTCTATTAAAGTTTAATGCATAAATCTTAATATAAACTTAAAGAATGATTTCATGTTATTTAAAAGTCAAATCGTCATCTCTGTTCACTTTCAACTGAATGATTCAAAGTGAATACACACTTACCATGAAACCTAAAAGTCCTGAATTCTATTTCTGTGTCATAGGTATGCACTGTTAAGCAATCCTCATATACTAGTGTGAATCAACTGTCCAATGTTCTTTAGATTTTACTGTCAATCAATTAATTTAGTAGTCTCTTTGGATAAAACAAGTATATACATGAAGTTGAATTAACAGGTCAACAAAAAATGTAAATTATATCAAATTTACAGATAAGTACATTGTAGCAAGAGTCTGTAGCTGTCTCATTAAGTGACAAATAATAATCACTAGTTTATTTTTTAACAACAAATGAGTAGAAGTAACTATTCTATTTAGAAAAAAACAACATACCAACGTCACAGAAACTTTATTTTTAAAGTATGCAGGTCATCAAACTTATCCTCTTTCAAAATAATGGTCTCATTTTTGCTAAATGCGTTTTCATTATCCACATTAAGTCAAACTGACTAAAGGTGGTGAAGACTCAAGTACAGTTGGTTGGCTATTCTATTATCTATTGGTAACAACATCTACTGTTCACTTTAACGGGTATTTATTGGAGAAAGCAAAACGGAAATTTTATGCAATGGGACCAAAGTGTAGTTACTAGAATAATGCTAGGATGACAGTTGTCTTTGCTGCGTAGGTTCGGCAGTGTGGAAGTGAGAATTTTATTGAACTATTGCTATCATTTGATCTAGTGATACACTACTGTGAAAATCTAATCTAAGATTCTTTCAAGGATGCCTAGTAAAAAACAGTCACAAGCTTGTATTTCTTTGCACTCATCTTTGTGAGGACCTATGCGTTCGTCAATGACGTTGAAATTAAGTCAACTGGATTATTATAGAATAAATCGCAGTGCAATCAAATAAAAGTAGATTTTATAAAAGGAAGTCCTTTGGCCTCCGTTATTCCGTCTGAAATAATCTAATTCAGACTGTAATTGAACAATTACTTTTCGAAGAGGAAGAATAGCTTGTTGTTGATATTATCTTCAAAATATGAATCCCTACTTTTAACAAATAGTATCTTCCATTGTAATTTGTTGAATGGAAGCCGGTACGACTAATTATCCAATCTAAATAACTAATCTTTTAGTCATGTATTCTAGTGAGCAAATCAGAGAGACTTAACTAACTTTGTTATACTTCTATCTTACTATTTCCCAATAGCTAATTGTTGAGTCATATCTCTACAGTTTATTCAGTTCACATTTGCTTATCCTATTCAGCATATAGCATTTTCAGCAGCTTATTTGGTTTTGATACATTTGGCTAATCAGAAATCGTCCAAATGATAGGTTCATATGATTGGCCAAGAAATAGCTTTCATTTGTAATGAACAAATCATACACCATTGGTGGCCTTAGTCTCTCCTGTCGAATAGTTGTTTATTGGACTCGTGAATAATAAGACCACTTATCAGTATCAACTATCAAATACTACACATCATGACAGGTTGCCTTCATTTCTATGTCGAGCATAAAAATATCGGAAGAACTGAGTCCTCATGTTCAGAATATTAATAATGGGCTTATATGGTTCACTGTTAATTAGACATTGGACATTTCTCATCCTATAGATTAAAAACTTAGAATATTATTATCAAAACTTTTTAGCTGACTATCTTTAAGCAAACAAAAAAGATGGACTTTGAAGAAATATCGACGACATTTTTCAGGAAAACTCCGTGCAACTACAGGTGAAAATACACCAAGTTTCCGTCTTTTTCACCAATCTGGGGAAATGTTTCAGAGTTGATGTATCAACCTTCCCTTGAATTAACATCGAGTAATCTTATTTTCCCACAGATTAGGACCGATCAGTATTCTTTCCCCTTAAATTTTGCCAGTGGGGAAAAACCTAAAATTAACATAGTTCTTTCGTTTATTTCCTTTTTTAAACTTGGGTCCTGGTGTTTTGCAGTACAAAAAGTTCACCATTGGTTCTAATCGAATATGTTAAGAATAGCTGTGAACAAGAGGTTACCGTCAGTCTTTTTACGAATAGCCTACTGAAGTGTAGTTAGTTATGGATTTGTCTAATGCGTAGAGTACAAGATTAATTTCTGACAGGAGGATGGTTGGTAATTTGTTATAACGAATTGTGTAATGATAAATGAGTTTGGTTTTAGTTTTAAGGCAGTTGCTACTCACTACCAAACTAAGTGAATTTTGCATGTTTTGTAGTGGCACGGAATATAAGTCCATAAATGGGTGATTGAAGACGGTATAGACCAATAGTTTACAACTGCAAACGGTTTTTATGAGTCTAAATATCTGTGACAGGAGACATTGTTCATTTCTTCCAAAATTTATACAGTAAATTCATTCCATATGAACTGTAATGAAAAACTTCAGATAAATGAGTCGAGGAAATCTGACCTGTTTCAAGTTAGTTTTGATCTGACGTGTACATCAATTGAGGAGTCACTTTAAGTTGAGACATACCGAATGAACTTTAATTCAACTGTTTCATATACTGATATGTAACTGACGGTTATAGTATATTATGCTACGTTATCACTGAACTGAGGTTAACATGAGGGACGTATTCAACTTCAGTACTTACTACAAGTCCTTAAAGTAATCGGTTCATTCTCAACAGTTGGGACGAGTGTTGAAGAATAAAACTAAATAGGTATACACATTTTTATTACTTTACAATGATTATCTGATGTACGCTAACTTGTTCCTGTGAAGAATTATGTGATTACTTTGCTATATGTCTACATATTCAAAATATTTCATTCTTTGTAAATAGCTCATTTATTATTCTATTTCTCTGACAAACAACTTTATCAGTTTGTTTAACCAGAACAGAAAAAGCCAGCCAACTTAGTTTCTACAATTCCTCATCCTTTTCTTTTTGTTACAACTTTAAGCAGTCCCCCAGTTTTAAGAGTGTATATTCCCGTTTAACCTCGACTAGTTCACTTTTCTTTTTTTTTTTAACGCTTATATTCAGTACAGTAACTTGAGTTTCCATTGTTATATCTATTTACTTATTAGTTTACTCTGTCCCTTCCAATATGAAGCATATTCATCCACAAATAACACTACTAACAACTATGATAACTAAACTAAATGGGCGTTATTTCACAATTATTGCTTATCGATCATTGCTGACAGTTGTAAAGGTGGCATTCATTATATTCTGCTGAAAGTAACGGACCTTGAAATTACATAGGATTCTTTGAATAAATTTCATAGAAATATTTGTGACAACTAATTTACTGCAGTATTTTCGGATATTTAACAAGTCTATACAGATTAACTATTGTTTTATTCGATGTCATCGTCGTTAAACAAGTTAACATCTGGAACTAATATCACACAATTGTCTGTTAAAATTATATCGTTAACGCCTAAATTAGCTCGTGAACATTTCCGTTCAAAAGTAACCAAGAATACAATCCTCTTATTAGCCAAATGGCATCTAATGAGAAAATAGTTTGCTATACTTTTTAATAAATGGACTATGAAATTATAACAAGCAACTCAGGGGAAGTACTACACTGAGATAGTTTATTAGCATAAAGTACATGTGGAATTATACAGTTTCAAGATAGTTTACATCGTTTTAGCTAAACAACTATTGTATAGGATTCCTTAAAAATGCCTACCCACTACCCTTCTTACCAGGAATCAAAATAAGGAATTTTGTAATGACTGCGTAGCTTTCAAGACACTAGGTTGCTACTAAAAATTCACATTTCCGACTTCAGTCAATTCACGGTATTGTGAATACATTATTTCCATTAGCTATCAGTACAGCAACATTTATTCAAAGCGGAGAGGTATTGTATCCAAATGAGATTAAATTGTGGGTAACTTCTGGGGACTATTCGTGAACAGTAATAATATATTTTTTAGTGTATAGCTACTGAGTAACTGGATTGTATATATTTGTATTACTTTTATTATAAGCTTTCATTTGACCTGTTGGCTACTATTAAACGATTTGCTATTTTTAAGTTATTCCCAATCTACTAGTTACAGTCTCTCACACTCGCAGCCACTTTTGACTTGATCTTTTATAATTGTTATTTTTCTGTTTTATGGTATTATGCGGTCTGATTTGTTTGTATATAAACTGCGTATGTCTGAAATTTACGGTTCACATAGCGGATGCTGATATTTGTCGTCTGGACTGAAGCGGCTAGGTTAGGCGAGAAGCTACTACACAGAGGACCAATAAGAACCCAAAATTGACTCAAGAGCGGTTATGCTGATTATTGCGTCGTTGGTTTATCATAGGGACAGTGTCATAGAAGTCAGTATTCTAATTGGCAATTTTGTCACGTGATATTTGACGGGTCATAAGACATAACAATATGAATAGTCGTTAGCGATGAAATTCATGACGCGTGTTTCTTCTTATTTGAGAAACGTTAACTGAATGTGTCTGGATCTCAGAAATGAAGTTCACTCTGGGACCAGATCCAGTACCTTTCGCTTCTAACGTCACCGTATTATTCACTGAGTCAAGGTAGCCACCGGTTTGTGCAATGGGATAGATTTTAGTTCACATGTATTGGTTAGTTGAATCTCCCCATTCATATTTAGGGTTTTAAAAATGGCAATACAGAGGCAATCTGTACAGAATCCACACACAACGAAGAACAGTCTGGTTAATTGTAGTCCCAAACAACGTTGGTAATATTCAGATAACCAACACATATCACCTTTTTTTCCAAAATTGAGAACTATATGATGGTAATTTAGTCAATAACTTCTAATAATAAAACAGAATAAAAGATGTGAAATATGTATCTGATTTACACAAGGTAATAATTGTTGGAATGTTCAACATTTTTTATGATAATTACATGATTATGCAATAATGTGAATCTTATTATTTATATATATATATTCTTACTACTATTACTGATATAAGTAGTGTTATTCAAAAAGGACTAGACAAATAATCATTTGTGTACATGTGATTTATAGCAATTTATATAATGAATTGTTGTATACAGATATGATAATACTAGTATTTTGAATAAAGTCAATTATTGAAGAGGAAATGATTTAATGATGATGATTATGATTATGAAGAGAAGGAGTGAGATGTAGAAGTAGAGGAATACAAAAGTGAATTAATATGATGATGATGATGCATTATGTGATTCACTGTTATTATTATCATTAATGCTTATCAGTTTACTATTCACATGACTATACATATACGAATCATTTAAAATTCCAACTGAATTTGATTCATCATTATGAGTTAAATTAAGGAAACTTGAAACATTTCCCATTTGTTTTATGAATTGAGGATTTAAAGTTGAATTCATTATTAAATTTAATGTAGTATTAGTAGTGTTAGAAAAAGAAGAATATGTTTCAATATCAGTTACATTGGTAACTGTTGTAGCCACTGTTAATGTTGTTGTTGTTGTTGTTGGAGATGATGGCGGTGATCCTGTTGTACTTGATGCATTAGGTACAGTTTGAGTTTCAGTTGCAGAACGTATTATATAAGCAAATATTAAACCTAATATAGTCAATATAGCACCCATTGTAACAATACGAGCTAAACGATGATTTTCAATAAGATTTGAATAAGCTTCATCTTCATCATCTGAATTTGTACAACATGTACAACACAAAAGATCAACTAGAATAGATCGATCCACTGTAGTGGTTGTTGGTGACATTGTATTATTATTATTATTATTACTAGTTAAAATAGTATTTGGATTATTAGATTTATTATAATGAACATTTGATAATGTACCGATTGAACCACTAGTTCTATGTTGATTTGGATTACCGCCAATTATTGTATTAAAAATACTACGTTCCATTAAACGTTGACTTGAAACACTACTTCGTATACCGATTGTATTATTATTATTATTATTATTAACATCATCATCAAGATTTAAGTCATTATGTTGTTGTATAAAACTTGATCGAGATGACTTTTTATGACTATCTGCATCAGAATTAAAAAGAGCATTATCATAATTAGTATTACTATTATCATTAGTATTATTATTATGTTTAGAAATCATCTGTTTTAATCGTTTCCCAGATGATGATATTCTTCTTGTATTTAAATGAAAATTAGATGAATAATGTTCATTAGAATAATTAATTGATGTTTCTTGTGTCAATCCTAAATTATTACTAATTTGTGAAAAGATCATTGCAAGTGATTTACGTGGATTAGTTAGAATTGATGAATGACGACGTTTTTCAATAGAGATTTGTCTTGGAAATGGTTGCCAATATTGTTGTTGTTGATTTACTTGAAAAATAGTTTCTTCATCATTTATTATATTTGATGATTGTGATAAATTAGAATTAGAATATTGTTCATTTATTGATGGAAATTTCATTGTTATCTTATCATTGTTGATATTACAATTTGTATTCATTGTTTCTTCATGTTTATTTGAAGTGTTTTCATGAATGTCATAGTTCTTGTTTTCTATTCGATCATATTTATCATCCTAATAATGTTGAAAAAAGTAAACAAATATACTCAAGTATAAAGAAAGTTGATTGTTTAAAGACTTTGATGGAGTTTTGTTCTTTGAGTTGAATGGTTTGGTCATGGAGCTTTGATTGTTCTTCTGAACGACATTCTCATGATCATAAAGTTTTTGCTCCATCCAAATCATTCACTTGAGCTATAAATCTTCACCACTTACAACAAATCTAAATGGTTTACGCATAACCGATTAACTTCTGAATTATTTTCATTATCAATGAATAATATCAGTTTAAGAAGTGCTGAATACTCGAAACTACAGAACTTCTACGCTTAGCCGTGATTTAGAATCTAAGGTGATATTTTTGATCTTATGAGGGTTTGTATTATCTTGTTCATACTAAGAATTAAATTTGATCAATCTACAGATAACACTGTTATTCTAATCTATGATTGTTTGATTTGAATCTCAGTTCGAATAATCAATATAAATCAAATTATATTCAACTGGTAAATTATTGAGGCGTCCTTCCTAGAATTTCACTACTGCTCATTATTCAAAATATATTTGATCTTATTTGAAAACATTTTGATTACAACATAACTTCTTATTAAGCAATGATGGATAGTGGTTAGCAGTGGGATCCAGTTTGACGCGCGTATCGTCCTATTTCGGAATCGTCAGCTGGGTGTACCCGCATCCTAAAGTTGATGTTCATCCTGCGACTCGAACTCAGTACCATTCGCTTCAAACGCCATTGCGTTATCCACTCAGCTACTGAGTCTTTATAGTCACTTGCTTGTGCAATGGGGTGAACTTAAATTCACTTAGTATTGTTTGTCTTGTATCTTCCCATTGAGGTTTAAGACTGCAATTGATCAGTCCTGTATTCCACTACTAGCCACTATCCATCATTGCTTACAAAGTTTGTGAATTAAGGCAATATCAAGGCATACGTACAGTAAGCACATATGCCAATAACAGACTGATCAATTGCAGTCTTAAACCTCAATGGGAAGATACATACCAAACAATACCAAGTGAATATCTTATTCTTTGTCAAATTTAAATCTATAAACCTTTGACTGTATAATGAAGAAAGCATTTCAACATTTATAAGGTCTATTTGTCAAATTAACCATTTTATCTTAACTCGTAGCAATGTTGTTTAACTTATTACTTATAAGCCAGCGTTGTTTTAATACAGAATACTTCATTTTCATCAACAATATGAGTTATTATTTCAGTGTAGAATGGTTTCGACTCTCTATGTATTAACAATATATAAAGTAAATTACATTGTTTTTAAGATTATCAACAGTCTAGTTTTCAAAATACTAAGCTTCATGGAGGGAAAACTTGATAAGTAAAGTATATTTTTGATTTAGATCATGAACCGATCGATGTTAAACCACCTTTGGAAACCTGGAAGCACTGGAAGGCCGTTTCGTTCTATTGTGGGACTCCTCAGCAGTGCCCATCCACGATCCCGCCCGCGGGATTCGAACCCAGGGCCTACGGCCTCGAGCGCGAACGCTTAACCTACTGGACCACTGAGCCGGCATCCAGTGTTGATAGTGTATTGATTTTAGCTCATAGAATGGTCTAGGTACTTGTTGGTTTTGTTCCTTTTACTTGTAATGCTGCAAATGTTTATCCAAAATAATGTCTATGGTATATATGAGTTACTTTTGTTGAATATTCCATAAATTATATTCTGAATATCTTGTCTTTCTATGAGCAAAGTTATAAATGATGTACACATGCTGTATTTCACAAGCCCTATCATGTATCTCCTTTTTTATTTCACTTACTCATTTGTAGTTGATATGTCTCTCATTCTCCATGAAACACTGATATTGATTAAAATTGGTGTTCGTCAAGGTTACCCATTATATATATCCTACTGGTTATAACCATTTTTGCATCTAACATTAAAGGAGTTGATCCCATGCCAAGAGGTTTACTTGTTAACTTCAAATACACAGATAATATAGTATTTGGTGAACTGACTGACATAATCCAAAGATTGCCTCGATTAACAATATATGCCTGTTTGAGATGTTTTTCTCACTTTAAATGAAAAATCTCCCTTTAGGATTGATCTGCATCAGTACCTAAACCATTTTTGGGGAGTGAATTAGTTGAGTACATCAAAAATTTTATTCACTAAACTCACTTGACTATATCTCAGTTTTCGTTGGGATGGCTTACGAGAACTACGACAGAGGCCCTAGAGGGGCCGAAGTATCCCATCCACCCAGAACGCAATGGAGATATCTAGAATATCAACATGGTATGCTACTATTGGTTAGTAGCATAACATGCCTCTTTGCGGATTGGTTGAATTATAATGTTGATATAATAAACGCTAATGTATATGGATACCCATAATTTTCTATACATTTTCATTCTTGTCCAACAAGCACCTTCTCCAGTTTTCTTCTGTCTTCTTATTTGTGACTTGGGTTATAGCATTCTAGTGCTCAAGTTATACGCGGTATATTAAGAATCTAAGCTCCTAGATACAACAATTTTATTATTGGTATTCTATTATACTGTATTCTATTCCTCACTCTTAATATGTAACTTAAGTCAATGCAATTTTCATTATTTATGTCGTGTTCTTAATTCCTTTTTATATTTTAACAAGTGTATTTATAGTCGAATAGTCAAAAACTTTAGTTGTCATAACCATAGATCCAGGTATTAGGTTTAGTTCAATTACGCAAAGTACCGTACTTCGATGTGAACAAAAGTTGAAATCACAAAATGGTGCACAAATTTTTTTCGAAATATTTAGGATCTGATTGGTATGTAAGGGCATTTCATATTTGACATGTATGATTCAAAACACGTTTACTTATTTCCTATTCATTAAAATGCTTAAATCCAATGTTAATTATTGTTTGTTTCATTGAATTTGGAAATTCCAAATATCCTCATACTCCTCCTAGGTCTTACTCATAAGAACTTCATTAGAACCTAATATCATCTTATTGAAATGTATGAGATGAATTCATAAATGAGCTTTGAAATCGAAAGCTCTGTTTAATACTGTATCAAGTAAGGCATGTTTTTGATTGAGATCATGAACCAATTGATGTTAGACTACAGTTGAAAACCTGGAAGCATGAGACGTCCATTTCGTCCTATTGTGAGACTCCTCAGCTTTGTGCATCCACGATCTCGCTCACGTGTATCTTTTAATTACCATTTAGTTTAATTTAGAAACTATATTCAATTCTTTTATCAAATAAAATAAGTTAGGCGTCAGGAAGACATTATTAAACTGGTCAGTCCCACTAGAGGTTAGTCATTACTTGAATAATCAAGGGAAAGCTCCCAAATGCCCTGTTATGGCCGAGAGTGGGGTGGGCCTGCTCTTCCTGCTCTCACACGGCCACGCGTATACAGCCTCTCCCAGAGAAGTCCTACTCACTGCCTTCTCGTGGTGGGGGTGTTGTTTACAAAATCGAGAGGACGAAAAGCGAATGTCCGGTGCTTTAACCGGATTCCAAACCAATGGTGCACATAGGCTACAGTATCCTGAGGGAACAAATGGCGTATGAACCAATTGTTGGTCACTGGCTACCACGGGAATGCATCTCCTCACGATGCTCCACTGTATTGTGGATCAGACCTTTAGATCAAAGGCTCGGGGTGTGGTCCCCTAAGAGAACCACCTGCTTCGGTTTGGGCACCTGGGCAGTCTCTCATCCCTCACACAAATCGAATGATTTATGTAGAGCATATATATTTGGTGCCTCCTTGTATCAGTATTTATGTGTTTAAATAAATAAAATAAATAAGCAAGTGAGTAATTCGTTCAACTGAAATACTGACTAGTAACTATGAAGTTTCAAAATGAGCATTAGTGATCTTTAGCTACGAGATATATCTTACTGATAACTTTTCTGGAAAAGAACTTGAATCACCAACATTCCAATCTTTATTAAACATCTTTTAAATTAGGAAATTACAACCACAAAGAAGAGCAGATGAAATAAGACTTACCTTTTTCAATGGTGATTGTTTTATATTTTCTAAATTTGTTATTATTTCCTCCCACTGAACATTGTTCTCATCTGCATTTACATTTGCATACTCATCATCATCATCGTCGTCGTCATCGTCTGTTATGACACCCCAACCAGGAAATCTGTCAGATAAACTTAACTTCAGTTTATCTACAGGTTTCTTCTCATTATTTGTTAATTTTATTTTATTGTTAGATTCGTTAATGGATTGGTTATTTTGAGTGTTAGATATTTCGAATTTATTAATTACATTATTATCACCATTAGTAGTAGTATTAGTAGTACTGGTAGTACTAGTCTTTTTATTAACTGGTTCAATAAAAGCAACTCTTGGTTTCAAATTTTTACTTGCAATTTCATTTACTATAACACATTCTGTTGAAGGATTTCTTGAAGTTATTGTAGAATATGATGTTATCATTGTGCCAATCGATTTTTTCATTGATTCATTAGAAGGTACTGTGTTTAATTTTGATTTTATAGGTTGTCGTGATGGTAAAACTACTAATTTATTTGATGATGAACCTTTATCATATGTACTAGTGTAAATATTATCATTACTATTATTTCTCATCTGATTGGTAGTATTAGTAGTAGTATTAATAGTAGTATCTGTAGTAATATACAAGTTGTTGTTGTTGTTGTTGTTGAAACTTCTAGATATATTTTGTAAATTAATGTACTGTGGATCATTTGATGATTTTGATAAATAAGAGTCATTGGATGACTTCTTACTATTAACTGTATTATTTGTGGATTTATAGTTAGAAGATTTATTTGCAATTATCACAGGTTCTTGGATGGATAATAAAGATGGTGAAGAACAACTACTATCTTCTTTAATATTGATTTCTTTTTGTTGAATTAGTGCTGATGGTAATGATTGTTGTTGGTGATGATGTTGAAGCGAGTGATGTTGATGATGACGATGATAATGATTTGTTGAAAGTGGTGGAGGAATACGTACAAACGGGGGTGGTTTGGCACGAATTTGTGAATCCAGTGCAGAAAATGGTAGTTTTACACCAAGCTGAATATTTTAAACATTGGGAAACATTTTTTTGAGTATCTTTAAAATGATTGTAAGTTTCAAAGAATATACCATCATAATAATGTTAAGTGACCCAAGTAACCATCAGGTTCCTCACTGATTTATGATATCCTTGCTAGCATTAGCATGACAAGTTCATCTACATCTATATAGCAAGTCCATCTGACCAACTAACATTGAGCAAAATACACACAAAGGGATCAGTTAAGTCAGATGAGTAGCTACATTAACTAACCTGTTCAATAAAGTTCTGTCAACAGAAAGCACTTGACAAATATATCATTGGTTGATACTCAGTAAATACTGAAATATATCCTGTAAGCAACCCTTATTTCAAGATCTGCATATTTTTCTGTGTATACTGTCCACTAATTCGGAAAACTAGTATAGTAAATTTATTTTCTAAACTGATTATAGTGTCCATAGAATGGTCGCATAACATATCATTATCATTTATCCTATCTATAAATAGTATAATATGATTTGTAGAATATTTTAAGGTTCTTCAGGATGAGACTATAATTTATGGATGACCTTTAAGCGACGCTAAAGAGACCTTCAGAATGTCCGCCTACATTCTACAGCTAAATGAAGGTTATAAACCAGTGTAAGGAATTAGGATTAATATTTACATTTGATGGTTAGGATTAAGAATCAGATATAGGGTTTTCATCACGAACTGACATCAGCTATAATGACAAAACTCTATTTAACTAAATGAATAAATCAATTTTGTGCTAAAATTCAAAATTTGTCATCGTATCTCTGATTAATTCACCCATAAATTGTATCTCCTTCTTCAATAAATATTCGTGATGGAAGTCGACTTTGTATATTACTACTAGATACCAGTAGGTGGGTAGGAAGATACAAGTAAAACAACCCCAAGTGAATTTAAACTTCACCCCATTACACAAACAGGTGACTATCAGAACTCAGTAGCTAAGAGGATAACACGATGGTGTTTTAAGTGAATGGTACTGGATTAGAGTCCCGGAGTGAACATCAACTCTGGGATGCAGTTACATCCAGTTGACGAGTCCCAAATAGGACGAGACGCGCGTCAAACTGGATTCCACTGCTAATCACTATCCATCTTTGCTCAAAAAGAATATTCTGTAGTAGAGTATTTCCATTATGTTATACATATATTCCTTATTACCTATGTAAGAATAGAATGATACTGTTCTATCACATTTGAAATAGGTTTCTTATTGGCTTATTGATTAATTCAGTAGACTTTCAATTACTGGATCTCAAATATAACAAATCTATTTTAATCGCTGAAAAATTCCCATTATATTAAAACACGATTATATGAACGAAGAATATTCTTTTCAATGTATTTCTCATCAGGTACTCAACAATTATAAATTCAAATGAATAATTCATCAAATTAGCCAGATTTAATGTAGAGTACATCATTTGATATATGAATCAAGGATTGTTTGTTATGTAAAGTCAAATCAAATCGTTAATGTTGGGGTTGACTAATATGAAGTTTCACTGATTGAAATCATGAGCCAATTGAAGCTAGACCACCATGGAAAACCTGGAGGCACTGGACGGCCGTTTTATCCTAGTATGGGACTCAGCAGTGCGCATCCACGATCCTGCACCCAGCGAGATTCGAACCCAGGATCTATCAGTCTCCCTCCAGGCGCTTAACCAACTAGACCACTAAAGTTTTTGACTCGAATCAGTTTATAAGTGAGATAAATAGTGATCACAATAACTGTGATCAACATGGGTTGAGAGAGAGAGAATACTGGAATAAAAATCAGGAACTACTTAATATGTGGAGTAATATGAATTCGGCCAGATATAGTAGATTTAGGGGGTTGATGCTGAATAAATTCCTCATAAAGCTTGTCAAGTGTAATAATAATAATAACGATAAAGATAATAATAATAGTGTGGTGCCTGCTACTTATGTTGATTTAAGTAATATATAACGCTAATCAGGAATGTAATGTCTGGCAGCAGAAGATGGGGAAGATCAAGAAAGGAAGAGCAGGAATCGAAAGAAATTAGTATGGAAATGCAAGAACAACGAAGTTCGAGACAATTATTGGACATTTCGCAAATTAAATATTATAGTATGGTTTTTCTATTTTATCAAGTAACTCAGTAATTTTGTGCTAAACGTAGAGTCATTGTCCCCACTGGTGTTCTGCTCACTACAATGGGTTGAGTTTGGGACAAAGATGTTCACAGAGCAATAGGGATATATATATATGAATATTTTTAAATTTCAACAAAGTAGCCGGAACTGTTGGTTCTCAGTGACTTTTATAAATAACTTAAATCTCAGAAGAGAACACCTATTCAAGTATCGTATTACTAAACGACTTACTTTTACTGTTTAAGTTAAAGTACGTGAAATACATTTGAGCCTAAAATCAATTCTACTTGTGTGTAATGAAAAAAAAACACAAAAACTAAAGTAGATACATTTATTCGTATAAATTTATTTCAGTAGTATTTTAGAAATTTATTCTCATAAGGAGATTTTAGTAATTCATTAGTTGAATTCATGAGTCAATTCAAGTTAGACCACCATAGAAAACCTGGAAGCATTGGACGGTCGTTTCGATCCCATCCACGAGATCTTGCATCAGCATTGTTGAGGAGTCCCATACTTGGATGAGATGAATGTCCAGTGTTTTCAGGTTTTTTTTTACAATGGTCTAGCTTTAATTGATTCATGAATTTAACTATCAGAAATTTATTTGTTTCAATCTATAAGACAATAAATTTCTTTTTCAAACAAAAAGAAGTATTTCTATCAACAAAACCAGGGACTTTCATTGAAAAAGAAAAACAAACTGTATGTTTAAATAGTCTACTCAAATTTCAATAACTTACTACCTACTACTCACTACACTACTTACTACTAAAATAGATGTTATCAATAAATATATATGTGTATAACTGAATGATCATTTAAAGAGATTAAAGATTATAAAACAATTTTATCAAACTAATTTCATCTTCTAATGTAATGTCAATATTAATAATGAAGTTGAAAATAATTTTTCAGAGAAATATTATCATTCTTTAATTCTATATAGGAGATAATTTGATTTACTTAACGACAATAACGATTATTCTGATGTGTGCTACTAATGTCGACAGATATAAGTAGTATGTATTATCAATCGAAAGTGAAATGCCTAATGACAGAAAGAAGATTTAGGAAAAGAGAACTAGAACAGAAAATGATTGGTGTGGAAACGCAAGAACAACGAAGTCTAAGATGACTGACTGATATTGTGCAAATGAAGTGTTTACTGTATGGTTTTCAGATTTTACTATGTTGTTCTGTAATTTTGTATTCAAATACATGCGATTGTTCACACTTTTGTTCTTGTTCACTGCATTATTACTACAAAATACGAGATAACTATTGTGTAAAAGAATGTTTGAACATGATATACGTTTACAGAATAAATGTTCATTCATAATAAACTACAGAATTGTTTAAGCTGTACAATAGTTAATTTATTCTATTCTGAATAGTTTCACGAACTTATAGATTGCTGACATAAAACATTTTTTTTTTATTAGGTTGAATGATCATTTCCACACTGACACTTAATTCCCATCTTAGAATAATGGTATATATATATATATATATATGAAATTAAAGTAGTAGTTCCGTGGGGAAATGTGGACAACGAATAGCCAAGATGATGTAATAGAAAGATTATAATACTAGATTACGTAACACAAATAATAACAATAGAATAATAAGTTAGTAACCAATAATAATGCGAATGTAGTAAGGTGGTTGAAACGTTTTTGTTGCATTAATTACCCGATTGCCCAAACTGAAGCAGGTGGATTACTTAGAGGAGCCTTCGACCTAAAGGTCTGATCTACAAGGCAGTGGAGCAACGTAAGGAGATGCAGTCTAATAGTGGCCGGTGACCAACGATTAGGTCATACACCATTTGTTCCTTCTGGATCTTGGAGCCCATGTGCACCATTGTTTTGGAATCAGGGTTTCCCAACTCCCCTGGGTGGACTCTTTATGTTCACGAACCCGGATGAAGCGCCGCACATTTATTTTTCGTAATTTCGATTTCGTAAACAACACCCGTGGTGCGAGAAGGCAGTGAATAGTGATTTAGTGCTTAAATATTCACTCACAGGACCAAATTCTTTAGGTAAGATCGCCCAATGAATATTTATGGTTGGCTTATGCTGAAAAGTCTCAAACAAGGATAAAACGATCATTCGATACCTCCAGGTTTTCATTAGTTCTCTAATTATGATTAATTCGTGATTCAAACAATGAAAATTCTACAATCTCAAATCCCCCTGTACTGATATTTCTTGTTATGTATCCACTAAATATTTAATTCACGGCATTTTTATATTGCCCTAATTGTTTATTTTCACTTAAACCATTAACTGTTGAATAGATATTTTACGATTGATTAGTTTTTGTTAATTAATTGTGGATCCATTGGTTAGTTTTGTATATTAGATGACCTAGTTATGTACAAATTGTAATTATCTATATGTAGTTCATTGTAGTCCTCTAATTGATGTTTATCATTATGCTCGTTTTTGGCTTATTATGATAAAGAATAGTACAGAATAAATCGACATGTTATTTTTATGTCCTGACTGATCATTGGTGATAGGAGAACTAATAAGCATTAGGATGACCAGTTGTTTTTGACGATTATTTGTGTTGTTGGTCAAAGCAAAGTTTATTGGTTTCAATGGAGTTAAGGTCACTCTATAATTTGATGATCTTATTAAGTGGACGTATGAGGTGAAGGTTGTAATAGTTTCCGACCAAGTAGTCTGCACTTACTGAAAATTACCATGTACCGACTATTAACTAACCTCAGGAGCTAATTTTCGTAGTTTTAATGAGAAGCAGTGACCAGTGGAGCAGAACTGTGTCGGGTTTGAAGCAGTTACCCACCTAAGACAACACGTAACGATCACCCATTGTTGTG